TCCCCTAACCTCTGCTTTCTGCACCATTAATCCCCAAGCCCATATGATTTACAGAACTAGGAAGGAACAGGTATGAAAAAGTTGTTACTTTTTTAATGGAATGTGACAAAACTAAACATTCTGCAGTTTTACACAAGGTATAGTAACAGAGACAATGGGAATGACTGGGGCTATGGGTGATGACATAATGCATACTTTTCCAGGGTGCAAATGGATCTGGTTGCAAGAGTTCCTGCCACTGTTGCGGAAAACACTATTAGTAACATTTGTGAAACCTTTTGAAATAATTTCACCAGACTACAATAAAGAAACTCACTGAATATTTACAAGCTTAAACTGAAGTTTCAAAACAAATCTTACAGAACATGCAAACATAAATTATTTATTGCAATTAGAACTGATAAAACCAGAAATTAATTTGTTCAGAGAGAATGGTTATATGATGGTCTAAAACAAATTGTTTTCAATATTTTGTTTAGAATAGGACATTCCATGCACGTATACTATTATAAAATGAAAGCTTTCCCTGAAATAAATATAAATCAAACATTGTCCTTCACAACTCTTGGGAGAAAAAACAACCAAAAACACACGTTACAAACCCTTAACTTTATAAAAGAGAAACTAAAAATACTCAAAAAGGCTACTTGACTTGAAGTCTCTGAAGAAGCAGCAAACAGGGTTGGAGCATACCTGTATGTTTTGGTATAAAAACATATTGGCCTCGCTTAAGGTTGTTAAATTTAAATTGTGGAGGCTGAAGGTCAGAGCCTCGACATTTATTTGAAATGAGCAAACCAAATTTAAAAATTGTAGATTAAATGTCAAAACATTTGCTTGTTACTGCAACAAAAGGGCAAGCAACTAGATACTATGTCATACTAAGATATAAGCGAGATTGGAATAAAAAAAACAAACATATTTTCTACTTTATTTTATTTTTGCTGAAAGTAAGGATGTTACAAAATATGGGGAAAATGCAGTGAACTTCATCCGACAATAATGATACATTATAATTATGATATTTTGTTGAAATTGAGAAATAGTTTCATTTGCATATTTATTTATTTCTGCCTTTATTTTTAGAAATGTTCTGTGGTCAAAAAATGAAAAATAGTCCAGTTTAGTTGAGTCTTTATTTTACAGGAACTTATTCCAATCTCCTCACTATCACTTTTATTGCATAAACTAGTCAAATGCCCAGGAAGAAAATCATCATCCTTGTCAGAAGAATTTAATTCCGATCCATAATTCCAAAACTCTTGATTTTCTAATGTTGAGGGTAATGTTCAGTTCCAGGGCGGGGGGGGGGTTGCAAAGTTCTCTTTGGAAAAACTCACTCTGCAACCTTTGTGTCTCTTGTCAACATGTCTTCACAGTGCCTAAGTGTTTCACATTGTTTTTGGAGCCATTGGGCGGTTTCTGCCAGTGTATACAGAATTTTATTTTATTTCAGTGCTCTCAATCAGTTTCATTGCTATGTGGACAATCTCGTGTGGACATACATAAGTACTATATGAGTGAATTTAAAAGCTGTAGGTGTCCTGGTTGATGGAAACATTTTACAGCAGAAGGTGAAAATTACACATACAAAGAAAAATAACAGATATACAGGAAAAATAACAACAGGTATTATGTCTTCCATCTTACAACAGGATTTGCTGTACATTGGTGGTCTCGCAAGTAATTTATGTTTTCTCAAGTTTAAAATAGTGTACAAATCATCCTGATCCATTAAAAACACAATAACATTTAATTAAACATGTCAAAAACCTATTTCCCACATCTAAGAGATCCCACTTATAAGAGACAAAATTCCATTCCACCAATTCCATTCTTACAAAGGGATTTTGCTGTACGTAGCTGTGCTCTGTGAAGTCACAAATGTAAAGCAATTTAAGGTCACATGTATTCCAGAATGAGTGACTGTCTGGGAAACCTGGTTATTAATGGCAATGGGCTTCTGGCCAAAGGGATAAAAGGCAGTGTCTGACTGCAATATGAGGAGACAAAAAAGTTAATGGAAGATTACTCCAGAAACACTCAATGCCCATGAGACAATGGCTAAAATGTGATACGAAGATGCAACAAATTTAAAAAAGGAGCAGCAACGCCATGTGACTATTACAACCTCCCGAAAGTTAGGATGAACCAGATTATTTATTGTGAATGGTTTTGCAACAATTTTGTACCATCTGTAACAAAATTTCAGGATGAGGAAGGGATTCCTAAAACACTGATCTCTTTCATATTAATGTCCTTTCACATCTCTCCTCTCAGAATCTACCCAAAAAACAAACGATCAAATTTTTTACTACTATTCACCACCTAACATGACATAAATTCTTGGCTATCCGGGAGACGGCATGTTGTTGCGGGAGTTTCTATCTGGGAGTTGCCACGAGAGGCCTGAGCCCTTTGGCCTCTCAGCCAATAACATAGCGTCTTCTCCCTGATAGCCAAGAATTTATGGAATCAAGCCATGGAAGCTTACGTGTGCACCTAACATTACTTCCTTAATTCAGGCAATAGATCAAGGTGTAATATCTCATAGGAAACTTACAGCGCAAAAAGATTTTTCTCAGTTTTCTTTTAGAAGAAAATTGTTTTATTCAATCAAAAGACGTCTGAAAATGGACCGTAAAAGATGTGCGAGTGGTGATGAATGCGCTCATAAATTTATTGAACCAATTCAGTGTTCATCCAATAAATAATCTGCTTTACCGTTAGATTTTTCAAATATATCTAAGCAAATTAAATACCACCTCTCTAATGCACTGTGGAACAAAAGCAGTTTTGTACCATTTAAAAGAAACGGTCAATACAAAATACCAGGAGTGCGGTACAATTGGTGAGGGAATTACTCTCAACCAGCATCAAACAGATTTCAGATTAAAAAAATATTCCTGATTATGATATTCAGAGAAAATAGGAACATGCAGCCCACAAAACACATTACGTATCACTATTGGAGGTAAACCCCACTCCATTGCATTGGTTGTCAAATGTCAAGAGGCAGAGAAGAAAAGACCAAAGCTGTAGAGCCAAGAAGGGGGAGGCAGTATTTTAGATTATTGCAATAAATAAATTCCTAGGCCAATGGAGATAATCAGCTAATACCTCACAAACAAATTTTCAGAATGTTTCCCTTAAGAAGAATTCAATTTCATTCCTCTACAAAATTATTTACCAAAATATAAGAAATACCTCTTACTTCTTTACATAATAAAACCAACTAGTGGACAATACAATTAAGTATACAAATTTCCATACATGCCAAAATTAATGAAATCTAATAATGCTGTCGCACAATCATTTCTTATTTTCTCTTCTTTCTCTAGGCCATTCCCTGCTTTCAAAATATTTAAAAAATAGTAATGTACATTTCACTAATAAGAAAAATAATTCTATAAAGCACAAAGTAAAATATAATCAACATGCTGAAAGAATTGTGAAGCAACTTTAAAATTTGTGCCAAAAAATATGGAACTTCAAATTCAGGGTAGTAGATATTTTAGCACGGTTGGAATTTCTTCATGTGTTATACATATTGTGGCCATTGTGTCATATTTCCACTTTTGTTATTTTGTAACTTACAATCTGTATCATTTCTAAATGTTTAGAAATATCTATACACTGTAAAAGAAGGATGAGAATACAAAAAGTATTCAAAAAAATTATTTCCCTCCAAAAATGTTTATTTCTTGTCCCCCCATCCCACCAGTTTATGTATAATGAGTTGTGGAATAAAAGAATGCTAATCTTGCAAAATAATGATCATCGTAATTTATATACACAATAGCACAATTTCATGTCTGTCCCAATGCATATCTAGTAGATGGAGCCAATTTGTTCAGTGTTTAGAATACAATCCTTGAGAAAAGCATTAAATACGTGAGGTGAGTAAAAAATTAAATGATGGCAACTTGTTGTGATTGAAACATATTTTACCACAACACCTGGGTGCATCAATCAGATTGCAGTCCATGCCAGGGAGGTTCGTTCCATGATTGGCTGATGCTCTCTCCACATTGGGAATCACACAGTCAATCAGCTGACGAGTGGAAGGGAACCTAGCCCTATATTAACTCGCACTGCATTTTGCCTTGAAGGTCACAGAATGGTGGCCAAAACTTTGGCATCTGTGCCTAGGACACGGTGTCTCCCAGACAACCAAGTAGCTACATAATTGGATTTCACCCAAACTACATCTAGAACCAATCACAAATGAACTTCATCAAAATTGTCATGATTGAAAATCAGCCATCCAATTTTGATACTTTTTTTTATCAAATTTCTGTGAAATTAAGTGAATAGCAAGCTTTGAAATCCAAAATGTTCTAAATTAAAAATATTTGCCTCTTGCTTTCTCTCTCTCACTTTTTATTTTTAATATTTATATATTTATAATAAAAATTATAATAATAATAATAACAATAATAATAATAATTTATTATTATTATTGTTATATCTATTATTATTGGCTTCCTTCATTTCTCAGAGTAGTGCATTTCCCTCCATTCATACCTAGCAACACTGTCAAAATAACAAATGGGTAAGTCTCTTCTTCAGTTAGTGAATGCAAGTGCAAATATTCTCTACACTACAGTTTGGCATGCTAAGAAACTTTTAGCTAAGAAAAAAAAAAAAAAAAATGTTGAACTTCAATATACAATAAATAAAATAAAGTTTTAATATTTAAACACATGCTGAGCCAAGAGCAAAAATTTAAAATAACACTCAAAGCACATGTACACTACAGGCCATGCACTTTACCCTATAGAATCTTGCTTCTCCATCACCTCTTCCTCCTCACCTTCATCATCTTCCACCACGAATTCCAAACTGACATAAATTCATTCATTAGTAACTAATTTTGATATTAACGGCATATTTCTCACAATTTACCAACTTCAGAAGAATTTCTTATTACTCACTAATTTTCATTACAAAGTGTTACCATAAATATTATAAATGAACATCTAGAAACTTTAACTTACCCATCTCTTTTCTTTTCAGCTGTTGGGGATGTCCCAGTTCCTCTTTTATCTGCATGTCTTGTGGAACGACCTTTCCTTAAACGTCTGAATGATTCACGTAATGATTTCTTGAAAGATTTACGTCTTGATATGGGAGCATCACCAGCACCTGACAAATCTAGAATACAAAGTAAAAAAATTAAATAAGAGTATGACCACAAAAGCGATTCATATGTTCAGCAAAAAAATAAACAATCATAACTTGTCAGGAACCTTCATTTACTGAAAAGGAAACAAAATAAGAAAATTGCTTATTTAATTGAATATAAGTCAACTCTCTCATTTTGAAAGGGCCACCTGAAAATTTTTAAAAACTTTACTGATTGTTACTCCAAGGCAAGATTATATTTCAAATTATCTTAATGACTAGGAAATTGCTTCATTGTCAAGTTAATTAGAATTCTACAATCGCAGAAAACCTGTTGTATATTTTTCATGAGCACAAGGATTGTTCCTGTACTATCTTGTCATTTATGTAGATTTACAGAATAATTCACTCGTAAACTGTTCTTCCATTTCTGACTTTTCTCCTACTTCTCCTACTAACTATAATAATAATAATAATAATAATAATAATAATAATAATAATAATACTAACGATGATAATAATAATAATAATTTATTACTGCAAATGAGCATACACTTGGTGGCAGTTAATCAAATTAAGGTAGCAATCCCGAGTTTCAATCACTCAACTGATAACAAAAATAGTATTTACTTTCCATAATTCGCAAGAGAATTTTGCCTGATTATTTTAGTATTAGTAGTATTTGAAATTAAACTTCACATTTATTCAAACTATTTAACAATATTTCTAAGCAACTCCAATGGATTGTTTCTCATCGACATATTTCTCCCTGGTAATGATTAATATAAAACTGTCCTTTAAGTTGATAAAATGGTTCTCATAGAAATCTTAATTGCTTTTCTCATTAAACTATTGGCCTCAGAAAAATACCTCATGTAAAAACAATAATTTTATGACTTCAATATAAAGATAACTATTATAGTCATCACAGATTAAAACAGAAATATTATAATAGATTCGAAACAGAAATATTTCAATGAAAGATATTCATTGAATGTCTCATGAAATTTAGGCATGTTTAGAAATGTTGACACATTGCTTGTCCAAGTACTCCTTAAAATGAAGAAGGGAAAGAAGAAGAAAAGAGGAAGAAAAAAGAGTAAGAGGAAAAAGAAGAAGAGGATAAAGAGATTAAATGTGAATTATTGCTTCAAATTTTCCTACATACCATTAGGATTAAGTGTGCATTTAGTGAGAACACCTTTGTGTCTAACAAAATCAAATAGAGCCAATCCATGTGCAGTGCCAGCTGCTGCAAGGCCCCATTCTGAATGCAAAACCAAAGCTGTCACAGCAGCAGGTGGATGAAGTTGTAAAATGGCTGACGACTGAAAGCCAGGAGGTAAAGAAATATTTCCACTTCTTGGAGTCAGTTGATCATGACCCTTCCAAACAAAACCATCACGATCCGACACTACATTCATTGTAGTCACCTACAAAAAACATTAATTAATAGAAGAACAAGATAACATTTTATTTCCATTCCCCGTACAAAGCATTTGTCAACATACCTTAACTTCTTTTTCAACTTGTTCGGAACCAATTTTCGCAACAATGACAGATCCTGCAGTACCAGCCACAACAAGAGTACCTGTTAAAGGGCACAGAACTACTTTTTTGACAGCTAAACGAGGATCATCCGAGTATGGATCAAATGTTCCAACCTAAAAATTCAATAGATCAAGAAACAAATTATTTCAAAACTAATTATACAAATTTGTGAAATGAAAACAATATGATGAGCAATTTTCCAACAATTACAATGCAGTGTATAAAAAATGAAATTTAAGGGAGAGAGTATTTTCCTTTGTTATGGAAAGTATGTGTTATGTTAAGAGCTTGTATATTAATGTAAGAGTTTAAAGATAAACCAATCAAATGCAAATAGTGTCTGTATTATAAGAAGTTTTGCAATAGAGATTTTCCACTATAAGTAGGAAAACAAAATAAATGTTGTATAATAATTATATTTATGTGAGTTACAGAGATTTTAATTTACTCACTAATGACCTGAAATGCATATTCATGAATAAGCTTTTAACAAAAAAGTTGTAAGAAACACATTAATTTATGTGAATATGCTGTTAAACCCTTCATCAGCTAAACCTCCCAGGGGTGTGTATGTGTGTGTCTGTATATATACACAATATTTCTGTGTAAGCATGATATTTTACAACCTGAATAATCATTACATATAATTCACTGAAGAAAGCAAATATTGCAGAATGCCTAACATGCAAGGCCTTCAGTTAACTTACTTTTCGAAACGGTGGCCATTCTTCTTCATCATCATCAGCAACGCCATTACTTCCATCACCACCTATTTCATCACCACTAAATAGACCAGCAGAAGCAAATTTATATAAAGGCTGAAGAGCTATCCCACTTGCATTCCAAAAGCGAACCGTACCATCTTCATGTCCAGTCAATAATAAATTTCGGGTGACTTCAGGTTCTTCATTATTATCTTCTTTTCCATTCTCCTTTTCTGATAAGATCACACCGCCAGTTATAGGCCACTCCTGATGTGAAGCATGAACAAGATAAAAAATTAAGCACTTTAATACATCAGAGCATTATGCAAATATTCATTTCGTATTTTATTGCTTTATTATCTAATAAAACAACCTGATTGCAACATTTTCCCAGTAATAAGTTCAAAAACAAAAAAATAAGGTTCCAGGAAAAATGTATTACAACTTCTCCACCCATTCATTTCACATCACATTATAGTAGTTGGAAATTCAAAAGGTAAATCATCTCAGGAGATAGGAGGTACAATGACCATCCCACTCAAACAAGAGAAATTCATGATTAGACTCTCAGATAAAAAGGTTAGTGCTACTCAAAGAGAAAAAATTCAGATCATTCTCAATATTACTTCTGAACACTACTAATTTTGGAAGCTCCCAAAACAAAAAAAAACAAAACCCAGCATATGAGGTGGGTTCCATAAGTTTCTGGCCTCACTAACTTTTAGTTGTATTACAACAAAGAAAAATATTTTTTCTATTAAACACAATCATCCTTCATTTGAAAATACTATTCACATTATTGAACAAATATTTCTATAGCTTCAAAAAATGTTGATGTTTTGTTCAAACTAATGGTTCAAAATTGCTTCTTTTATTTTTAACTTCAAGAAGCCGTAGTTCAGTGTTGCCAGATTGGTAAATCTCCCACTACATTTGGTGGGAATTTTTTTTTAGATTAGTTGGCTGTTTGAGGGATTTAATTATTTTTGGGAAAAGATTAGCGGGGGTAGCTACTTGGCTGTCTGGAAGATGCCACGTCTGAAGAAGGTCACAGAATGACAGCCAAAAACGTTGGCACCTGTGCCTAGGATGCAGCATCCTCAGACAGCCAAGTAGCTCCATTCCCAAACTTTCCCCCTACATGCTCCTGAACTTTGCCATGGAAGCCTATACTCCCAAGTTTAGGAGATTCCTAGGTATATAATAAAAATGTGTATGCACTTACAAAAAGGACTTGTAAACAATATTGACATGAGCTTAAGTTCAAGACTCCTTTTAAAATTGTTGCTGAATTTAATCTTGAGAAGTAAGATAACTTTCAATGTTATTTAAGTATTTAAATGTATTTTAAATTGCGCTCTTTAACGGAGTTAAATGTTAATCAGTTTAATATTATTTTATAGGGTGATTAACATATAAAAAAGTTTAATATATTGGACAAATACAGTAATGTTCATAAAATTCATTGTTAAATGTACAATGCAACTTAAAAAATAAGTAGAAAGAACTTTGGAGAATTATTTCATAATCTAGGGGGAAAGTAACATCTTATTGGTGGAATACCAACTTTACAGTCTGACAACAGTGCTTCCACTATTCTTTGCAATCTGAGCCGTGTGAACAGGTAATGTTTTGTAAAGAATCCAAATACCATGACATTTCATGCACCACATCCCATTCAATCACCTCTCTTTGCAACACTGATTAAAATAATGTTTGCAAACTTATAGCATTACAACAATTAAAGATAAGAGTATCTATTGCTTGGACGATTTCCCCACTGTTGAGTGCTTTTTTGGTCAGGCCAGATAGATTGATAGATTATAAGTTCGTTTTGACCTAATGCTCAGTGGCAAACATGATTACAATTAGAATTAGAACAATTACAAAACTATCAGAAACATTTACCATTAGAAATAAAGGTTGATAACTCAGTTCTACACTTCACTACACTTATGGAACCATCCCCATACATTACTTACCCAGTAGTTCTTAACATATGCCTTCACAGAAGAGGGATAATACGTTCCAATATTATATTTATTTTCAATTCGACATATTTTATAATTTTTAACACTTCCGATATTCGCAACACAAAAGAAAGAAGAGACAGTTATATTCATAAAAGGAACTATTTAATTATATTTGTTACTGAAGCATTTTAAAAAACTAACCCTTGTACTATATAAATCTTGAACTTGCTTCTTTCCTGCAGAAATAATATCTTCCCAAAGCTGTACAGGAACATTTGAAATGTGCTGAGAACAAGTGACAGCACTAGCATGCAATGACACTAAATATGGCAAAGATAGCATTTTCCAATCTTCTGAAAGAAGATCAATAGCAACAAGCTCTTCCTCCAATAACACAATAAGTGTATCGGGTTCACCAAATTCTGTAAAGCGAAAAAAATCAGAAAGAACAATCTAAATCAATACCTTTTCTTCCACGAAAATTTAAAGTATGAATATGAAAATGATAAGACAAATTTTGTTTCTCATGAGATCGGTACCTGGGTCTTCTCCTTCAATGGCGATTGTGAAAAAATCTACAATTTTTGAAGTAAAATCGAACACCACATGTTTCTTCCCTTGTTGTACAGTTATAGCATGTCTGTCACTGTAACTTGCTCGAGGCATACCCCCAGCAAACAAGATGTAATCATCACTAAAATATTGAAAAAATTAAAATTAGTTCCAAGAAGCATTGACATCAAGTGTTTTTTTAATGTACAGCAACAAATATTTTTACAAAAATTTACTACATTATACAAATTTTTTTTAACGTACAGAATAAAAATAAAGTCAATTTCAATTTCAAAAAAATAAATTTGAACAAAAGTAAAGCAATAAATGAAAGAGGACAAAAAAAAGAACACATTTAAAAGAAATATATCAGTCATGCAGACTTGATGGAATCAGCAGAATTGTCCTGTTTTTAGCAAGCTTCTGATCATTAAATACCATATTTATCCAAACATAAGTGAAGGTTTATTCCTGAATACAGTAAAATCTGTCTAAGCCAGAATAGTTTGGATCTAACATTTTCTTCCATCTTGTACACGATTCCAGCTTATTCTGGCTTGCCATAAAAACTGTCAGAAAACTTGCCAGAAAACGGAATCGTACAAAGATGGAGAAGGTTGTATGAGTAGTTTATCTCGTCTAAAAACTACATCTCAAAGAAACAAAGACCTCCCGGGAGAGACAAAGGAAAAATGACCAACAGAAAAATGAGGTCTGATGAAACAAATAGCTTGATAAAAAGAAATATTACTTTCTTCATGGGTACAGACAAATTCATCTAATATTTATGCTTCAGCTATTTGCCTACATACTTGTGAATATTGTACCAACCACCAACTAAAAATTTCTTTTAAACATTCACTCTTGATTTTGCCTTTGTTTTTAAGATGTCATACACTTAAGTTTTCCCTACTCCCCCCCCAAGAGTTAACATTTTTAATTTGCTGCCTGACATCAAACAGTTTATTAACACAACACCTCAACTCGTCGAAATTGAACATTTAAGTAAACTTTTAGAACCACCAAACCTAAAGCATGCATTACAAAGACTGTGGAAGAGTCACTCTTTGCGTCTCTCCTAGCATCAAATAAGCTTATGAAGGTCAGTGCTATTATAAATAAACAGTGCCTTTCATACAAGCAGCACAGGAAATACAATTTTTGGTTAAAGGTAGCTGAGAAGCAAATAAGCACAGCTCTGAGTCTATTGTAGTAGGATATCACTACAAGTCAATGTTTAATTTTAAAACAATATTTGTTTTCCGCCTCAACCAGAATTTTCAATACTGTAATTCTAGGAATTCCTTTCCATTTCTACATTAGACAAGTTTCCAGCTTTTCCAGCAAACTTTGCATTGGAAAATAGACCATCCTGAGATTTTTTTTCCTGTGAAGGGAGGTTTTTCCTTGTCCAGGTTTTTCTGTATCTCATTCAAAAATCATGGGGTCATCTTATATGCACAGATTAATCCTTGTTGGTTAGGATTTTTATTTTGACTCTGCCTTGATACAAAGACAAGAAGAAACTTGAATGTTGATGAAATCACAAGCTGCAAAAGTGACAAATATCACTTTGCTTAATATATAAAACCTAATTATGTTCATGGCCACATTGTTGTCATCCCATGCAAATTTGCCGGGGGACTCAAACCAATAATTTTGAATGGGCTGGTAAAGAAAGAATCTCTAACAATTGTACTGAAATAACTGTAACTCAGATTATGCTAAATTTTCTAGGAGATACTCCAAGTAAAAGATATCAAATAAATACAGCTATGGTATGGGAAATATTTTAAAAATATTTTAAGGACATTTTATTAATTATTTTTGGCAATGTTTTAGGTCATCAAACCCGTCCCTTATTGATAAGTATTGTATTATTTATAACTTGTAACTGTGAAAGTTTAGAATGAATTAATAACATTGTATTGGGCATTTGCCTGTAATGAATGAAATAAAGAAAAAAATTTGGTGACTCAGAGAGAAAGTTCTTAGCTGGCATCATAAAATGAATGGGGGGGGGGAGGAACAGTAAGGGAGAAGGACCAAAAACAAAGATCAATAATATATGTTATGATGAAGATTTTGGTGACAAAAACCATGATTAAGATGATTTTAAAGACCAAGAAAATAGAGATAGCTCACTGAACCACAACCAAGCTTTAACATTCTTATCAACGAAACAATTTTCTAGTCCATTAGAGACAATTCGCAATTTTATTTTGACTGAGTAGTAAGAATTAGCTAAAAATAAAATAAATTGGAGGAGTCTTCAAAACTAAAGGGTTACCTTGTATCCACAGCTAACTTGTATTTGGGTAAATACAGTAAAACCAATCAACATTATGTCTAAAAAAGTTCAAAGAATAACTGATGTACCCTTTTGATTGTCTCCACAAAAATTTTGTAACTGCTTTGCAAGGGAAAGGACCATATATAGTGTTGGGCTCTTCTAAAGGTTTTTCACCGACACCAACATCCCAAACAGCATAACTGCCATCATTGTGTGAAGATGTAAACCGAGAACCACTCTTATGCCAGCAAATACTCTCCAGCTGTTGGCTACTAATATAAGTCTGAAAACAAGAAAAAATGAGTAGATTCCAAGCAAGATCAATTAAAAAATAAACCATGAAATAAAGAAGAAATTACCTGATCAGCACCAGGAGCTTTCCTATCCCACAAAACCATCAAGCCTCTGTTGTATCCAATGAGAATCTTATCAGGGCAACCAGGTTGCTCTGCAATTGCTTCTACTGCTCCTGGATTAATTTTGTAATCTTCTGGAACACTACATCATAAAAAATGAATAAAATTGGACAAGTGGCGTGATATATTCAAATATATTAACATACAACATCAACACAATTGCTTTAACCAACATACTTTTGCATCACCACATCTTGATATATGATTGTCTCTGACATATTAAAAGTCTTCAAATTAAGTAAATAAATGTTTCCTCCTTCAGTTCCAAGTAGGAGGTGCTCTCTTGCAGATTCAAGACACAAGGCAGATATTTTCTTTAATCTGTAACACCAAAAAAGATGTCAAAAGATACTGTACACATTGCAAATTATAATAATTTAAGTAATAGATAAATAACTTGAGAAATATGAACTTACTTTCCTTCCAAAGAATGTTCTTTTACCTCTTCCAGGATACTTCCATTTACCTCCCATAAATGAAGGGAGTTATCATCACATAGAGAAACCAAACGGCCCTGTGCATATTCAAGTAGACATATACAATTGTCTCGATTGAGACTTTCACCAAGTTGGTGAATTAAACAACTGACCAAAGCAAATTGAAATTACGAGGCACAATATTATTGTTTGATTTTTCTGAGACACCAATTACTCACCTCATTTGGAACAAATACAATCTTTGTCACTGCAGATTCATGATTAGAATGCTGGCCATAAAATTCAACACCTGGCTTGCCAAATCTTCATTACATTAAGGAAAACATTTAAAATTCTATATAAGATATAGTTGAAAGGGGAAATTAAATTGCCTCAGAATTTTGTCCTCTCAGGAATGTAAATTTAGTAGGAATTAAAGCTACTTCCATTCCATCTTCGATTGATTATTTCAGGTTTCCAGGCATCTCAACTCTTATGGTCATTAGTTTTGAATGGTTAGTGTATGTTATGTCTCTGTTCCTGCCCAGCTTAAAGACGAGATCAGGTGCCAACCTACATGTCAGCATGTGGGGAGGGTGGGATTCCCATCCAGGAATCAAGCTCTATTCATACAAATGATCTCCCATTATATGTGTGGTAGTGTAGTGCATGTGGGATTAAGTGTGTGAATAAGGGCAGGGAAAGGGTCAAGGATGAGGAGAGAAACTTAATGTGCATTCCATTTTTCAAGTACTGCTCTAGCATTTGCCAGGTATTGACTCGGCAAGCCACAGAAAACTAGCAATTAGGGCAGCCGGCCTCTAGAATTCTCTCTCCAGACAGAGGCTGCATTCATCTTAGCAATACAGATCATAAATCTACAACTGTCAGGACTCAAACATTACGAACATTATGAAATAGATTTCAACCATGCGAGAAGTTCGCCACAGACACTGAAATGGAAAAGTTTATGAAATAGACGTAGGTGGGAGACCTTATCAAATGCTTTTGCAAAGTCTAAGTAGATGACATCAGTTGTTTTTTATCAAGGTCAAGTTTGTGTACTAGAGAGGAGGTTGGTAGATGTGGATCTGAATAGGACAAACCCATATTGTTCTGTTGGGCAAAATCTCTCGGTTTATTTCCAATAAGGTGCTCCATGACCTTACAAAGTGTTAGGTCAGAGTTATCAATCTATAATTGCTAGAATCCAACTCGCTACCAAGTGTTACCTGGAGGACAACAAAATTTAATTGAAATTGGCACTAAAACGGCAGGTACTTTCTGCCTTTTTTTGCTGAAAATTTGGTATCAAAAGGTCAGATTTTCTAGGAGTGAGGATCTTTCCATTGCTTCCAGTATACCAAGGGAAATCTAAAAACCCTTGTTAAGAACTTGTTGCTCGATTTAAATAAAGAGCGCTATGCACACAGCGTTGCCGACGTGTGCATTTCCGTCAATTTTCCAACATTTAAGAATTAATTCTAGAAAGTACATTACACTCAAAATACTGTAAATATATAATAATTTTGTATTCTATATTTTATTGCAACAATATATGGTCAATTGCAGTAAATTATTAATTGACAGTCATACAAACTTCTGAACAACAATTTTTATTATGTTGGGGCATATCCTGAGACAAATTTTGGGAGGGGAAATTCAAAATGTTTTGGTGAAAGGTATCATTTTACAGATTTTGTAAAACGTTGTAGGCTACACTAGCTCATGCTACAAACAGTTTTATTTGTTTCAATGATTATCCTAACATATTTTTGCTTGAAATGTGACGAGTTAAAATAATAGCTACTGTAGTGGGGGGAATTTTCCTCCCAGTGGATCCACTACTTGTAATATATTGTAATCATATGTATAAACATTTTGAAACATAAACTAATATCAAAAACATGTCTATCACAAAGAAATGGAATTTCCTTTCAAAACAACAGATTTTTCAAAAAGTCATAAAACAATAACCAAAGTTAGTGAATGTATAAAACCTGCAAAGGAAAACAGTCATTTAACTGGCGTGGATGTACATGTCAATTTATTTAAAATAAAAGTATTTAGATACTGCACCACCCTGCTTATCACAAATCGTACATTTGGTGCAAAAAATATACATTTTCAAACAAATCAAAAAAATTTGACAATTGTAACAGTTTTTCATACATGTAAATCATTTCCCAACAATAAGACGTAATTCACAAAAAGGAGTACCAGAGTCGGTGTCGAGTCATTGCAGCATTCCAATGAGATATTCTCTGAAAGCTAGTAGTATTTTAAATAATTTCTAAAAGATTAATGTTTAAAGGTATAACAAAAGCTTGAATGTAAGAAGCAAACGAAGAAATATGAAAAACAAAAATTCTAACTTACTAAGCATCCAAATGTTTGGTATTACATCCACAATGCGCAGAAAAATTCCATCGGCCACTATTTTTATCTCAAAATTAGCCCAAAAGCCCATATTTAAAAAAAAAATGATCTTGACCTTATTTGAAGATATATTTCTGATAAAAACATTTTGTTAAGAAAAAGAATTGTATTTTTACAATTGTAGTTGGAGGAAGACACCGAAGTCGAAGTGTAGTCAATTGTGAGCGGACTATTATGTTTCTCGTGAAATTACACACAAAATACTCATATTTTCAAAAAATTCAACATGACCTTATTTGGAGATATTTTATTAAGAACACATTTTATTAAGAAAAAAATGTATTTTCATAATTGAAGTAGCTGCTAATATTTTACTTTTTTTTTTTTTTTTTTTTTTTTTTTTTTTTTTTTTTTTTCACAAACATGAGACCTGCACCATTCACTTCAGTGTCCTATCTGAGGTTTCAATATTATAAAAAATGTGCGGTTTTTAAGAAAAATCATTGCCGATTGACATAAAATTTAACAAAAACAACTCAGTTTTTTGACAAAATTCGAATCTGACCTAATTTGACTTAAAATTCGAATCTGACATCGAATTTGATCTAATTTGAAGATATGTTTTTGATGAACACATTTCATTTAAAAAAATTATATCTTCATAATAATAGTTGTAGGTAGACAGCAGACAAATTTTGAAATTTTTTATTTATCGAAAAATTAGGGTTTTTCACCTATACGAGACCTTCACCATTTACTTAAAAGGCCTTCAGACTATCTAACAACAAAATTTAATCAAAATCAATGGAGCAGTTTTTGGGAAAAATTGTTTAATCAAAATTAAAAATTGCCCATTTTTCACCCAAAATTGAGTGAAAATACTCAAAATTTCAAAAAATTGTGCTTGATTTTATTGCAAAATCTTAGTAGAACAGATTTTATTAAGGGAAAATCTCTTTAATATTTGAGTTGTAGGAAGACAACAAACATTTATTTTTTTTCAATTTTCGAAAAATGAGTGTTTTTAACGAACATGAGAGCTGCATCATTATCTTAAACTTCCTTCATAGTAACCTGTAAGATTCAATTGATGGGGTCATTTTGTTTGGAAATGTCCCAGGGGCCTCATGCAAAGTACAACCAAAATTTAAATAGATGATAAATAGTTTTCCGGTCAAAAATATACCGTTTTTCTGCAACATTACAACATATTCTCTACACAGAGGAAGCAGAACGTAAAAAGGACAAGCATGACTAAAAAGGGCAAACAAGTAAAAAGGAGGAAGAGGTGAAAGAAGAAACGAGGTGAAGATGGAAGGGGTGAAAAAGTGCAAAGGAAATGCGAGGGAAAATGAGGTTGGGTAAAACATTGCGAAATTGCAAGTCAAATAAAATAATCATGTTCACACTTCGGTACAACCTTATTCACCTAGTAAGCAATGTGAGTTCTCTTTTAATTTCGATTCATACCATTCAGTTGCATACATACATTTACTTGTGTTAAAGCAACAGTGTTGTATACATTTTACAATAAGGATACATTTTTATGGCTCCTGATGCGGTCCCCACTGCAAGAAGGCGCAACGCAGGATCCCATGCTAAAGATGTGGGTTTGTTGGGAAAACCATGTTGCACGGTCTGCAGAACAAAAATATTAGCCATTTCAAAAAAAATGAAATAAAACAAAACATTTTCCTATACAAGATCAAAAAAGAAACAAAATAAGAAATGCATTAGGTTTACAATATTTTCAAATATATTTACCATGTTTTTAGTATAACAATGGGTGAGAAAGAAGAGAAGAAATTTTGAAGACGGATAAGAAATGATCAGGATTAAGAAAAAAACAAGTTGTAAAGCATATAAGATGCAGTTAAGGCAATTAGTAAGTAATTTGGTACAGGCAAAAGTAAAGAAAACAGTGAGGAGAAAAAAGAGATTAGCAGAGGGGAAGAAGTATGGAGAGGAAGAAAAAGAAGGAAGAGGACGGAAATATAGAAAGTCAGGGCAAAGATTGAAAGAGAGAAAATAGAACAGAGGGGTCAGATAGAAAGAGGGTGACATTGAAACGAGGACAGATAGAGGGGACTTAAAAAGGTGAGAGATAAAAAAGTGAAAAAGACTGAAGAAAAAAATGAGACTAGGGAAAAGGGAGAAATAAAAAGGAAGAAAGACAAAAAAATAAGGAATAGGGAAATGATACAAGGAAAAAGACCGGGAAAGAAACACTGGATAAAGAGATGTGGAAAGAGGAATAAGTGAAAAGCGGAAATAACAAAGGAAGAGAGAGAACGGAGGGAAGAAAACGAGAGAAAACAGGCCGGAGACAACGGTACGAGAGATGTCACAGAGAACGGGACGAGAGGGGCAAGGAGGAGGGAGAGACCAATGTGGAAAAAGACGAGGGAGGCGTCCGAGACAAGTATGGAGAAAGACATGACGAACAAGTGGAACAAATACGCGGCGGACGAGGGGAACAAGAGGGAGCCAGGCGCTGGGGAAAAGAGAGCCAGGCGCGGGGAAAAGAGAGCCAGGCGCGCGGAAAAGAGAGCCAGGCGCGCGGAAAAGAGACAAGTGTAAGACTTGTGGGACAAGTGAAAGACGTGGGGGATCTGTGAAAGAAATATGGGGAATATTGTGTGAAAGTCGTGAGAAGTGGGGGAAAGATGACGGAGAAGTGGGAAGAACAATTGGAGAAGAAGATATCAAGGAAGAATGTAGTAAATGATGAAGTAAAAGTAATGAAAGATATATTGCAGAGAGGAAGCATCTGAAGGACCAGTAGTGATAAAAAGAAAAACAAAGAAGAGGAAAAGGTAAATTGGAAAATGAGTGAAAGAGAAAAAAGGGAAAGATGTTGATGAAAATATGGAGGTTGCAAGTATACGTTTCATAATACATGGGTATCCGACTTGCGAGACCTCAAGGGCCACACCTAAAAACTTTAACATAGATGCGGGCTGTTTTTTCATTACTGGGCCATTCCACACGTGCCCCTATATTGTCGATATCGGCAGTTTGCTCGACTCATCTGGAACAGGGGGGGGGGGGGGGAAACTATGCCTATTAAGTTGTATCACACATAACGCTGTGAAACTCATCGGGATGATTTTGAAATTACTATAATTAAATTCTTATATCTAAACATTTTTTACGTGAAGGGTGTGTTGACCCCGACAGGTCGCCTGTGCTAGGCGCAATATTATCGCCCGACATAGATGCAAGGGACTTTCATGTTTGTCACATTTCGCGGGCCACACTATGTGGCATCTCGGGCAGCATGCGGCCCGCGGGCCACCAGTTGGATCTCTGTGATAATACAGCCAGCTATTATGATACTAGATAGTGCAGTAATACCCCTGACAGATTTTTCACTTTTTTACCATATAAATAATTTTTATGGACCTAGGTTAAAGAAATAATTTAAAGGTTCTGAACATTAGCAAATTTACATTATTGTACAGAAAATTTCAGAAGTAAAATTTCTACATGTAGAGAATGTGTTTTACTTAACCTTGACAACTCGCCAAGCTTTCTAAATAGGGGGAGGGAAAATTATATATATATATATATATATATATATATATATATATATATGATTTTGCATTTAACATAAGCTGAGAAAATTTTCTGTGTCATAGAAAGAATGTCTACACCATATTTTTGTTTACCTTCACTGTTGAATTCTATCAATTAAAAATAAAACTTATTTAGAATATTTTGACATGAAAAAATAGTTTGTGTTATGATTAAACATTTCCCAAATGTAATGTGCTTAATGAATCGTATTACATTGACAATATAACTGGTGCAGAATAGTAAGTTTTCAAGTGATGCAAGGAGAATGCCAGGAAGGAAATAACATCGACAGATAAGAAAGTATTGATTTCTCAAGAATTTTTATGCGAGAAGTCTTATCTGGGTGCCCCACCCAACACAATTTGATATCTAGTTTCTTATCAGGTTTCATAAAATTGTACTGTTAAAACACAGATAAGATATCACATATCCAAAAGATATGCAAAGAAGCTCTTAAAATGAAGTTTTTAGTATATACACCAGTATCAAAATTATTTGTAATAAATGTTTCAAGAAAAGTGAGAATCAGAAACTAATAAGATGTGACATCAGCGAGTAATCAAATAAATGTCTTCCCTCTAAAAAATGGACTAATAACTCATACAAGGAGGTTAATCTATCAATTGACTCATTAAGTTTTACTCAAGAATAATAAATTTCTATACAGCCACAAAAAATAAACATTGAGGATTTTTTATTCCCCAACAGAATTCATAATATCATTACCACTAGAATCCACTTAAGCTAGATTACTGGATTCAGAAGCCTTATGCAAACCAAGAGGGGAGAAGGCACACACATTATTTCCAATGGTTCTCTTGATGATTTCCTTCAGTTAATGTAGTAAGCTAGTAAAAGTGGTATGAAACTTTAAAATAAGGAGTACATTAAAAACTATGTCTCACATAAAATATTTTATCTGAACCACTTGACAAAAATCAACAGAAAATTCAAAATTATCAAAAAATATTTCTATAAAACATTACTTTTACATAAGAAAATTATTCAATATGAGCATATTTATGTTCTGAAATCTTATTTATCTCGTATTACAATTCATACAATTGACATCAAGATACCAAGATCTAAAAAATTCTAGATTAAGTCAAAAGTTTGCAATATTTACATAGGAAATATCAAAATTTTCAATGAAATGTTGCACAATTCTTCAGGTGTACTATAAGCATGAAAAGAAATAACCGCTATCAAATGTCACTAAAATGAACATAAACATTATGGCACTTACTTTCCTGAAGGCAAACAGCTCTCTTTGAAGTTTCTGTCTTTCAGCAGATGGTTGCTGCCCTTTTCCTCTTATGAACTTTAACATGTTTACTGTGAAGGTAGCACAGAGGTTAGAAACCAATATGTATATAAATATAACGAATGTACCTGTCAAAGCGCACTTTTATTACTGCATATAAAAGACCTTTGTTTGCACACACGAAAATTTCAGTGCGGTCTGATGTGGTCCAGCACGTACATCTAATCAACTCAAAAAAGTAAGCAAGTAGACAGCAATGCCTGCCTACGTCAAACCTTCAACCCGCCCTTCCCATTTCATGCACAGCGCTCAGAAACCGGCTGCAGTGAGATCACTCACGAATATATTCTCTGATATACATACGAGGCTTCAGCACTAGTTACCTAAGAGTTCACAAAAACACAGATGATTTTTTTTCTAAAACACAGCAATAATCACAAATCAAAACAAAGGGTGGTAAGATTCTTCATCCGCGCCAATGCAACATCCACGACGCGTGAAGACGCCTCACACCCCGATTTTATTGAAGGCGGTGTTATTAACCTGAACGGTATTCATTCGCACTATGTAGTGTAGGAATGTGTTGGATTAGTCCGAAGAGGTATAGTATATAAATCCATATATCTTTCAATTACATGTTCCAGTAATTAAAAACATAAAAATGTGAATTTTAAAGAATTATTTAGTCTCATTTGTGGTACTATTTTGTTACGCTGATTGTGGCTGACCCTTCGATGACTCATTACAACAATACCTTGCACGCCACCTGTTGACGGAATGCGGAGTATTGGGTTCGATTGGGTTTCAATCAAATTGAATTTTTATTTTTACATTTTGCTTTATTTAATTAGACTTTAAAAGTTATTTTTTTTCACAAATTGTCACCCATCCTTAGATTATTTTAAAGGCGCTTTTCTGACTACATATAATTTCCGTTCTCATTTCTTGAGCGCGGCGTATTTCACATTCTTTTATTTTTCTTTGCTGTTGAAATTTTCGCGTTACTTGTTGAAATATGAAGCATCTGTGTGAAGTTACCATCACGTTGCTTAGCAACACGAATGCCAATACTACTGTACACAAATGTCAAACAGAGTGTTTGCCTTCAAAGAAACGTCTCAAATGTATATTCTGCAGTAGTTAAAGCGTTACTTTTTTTGAGAAAAATGCCTAATATATTGAGAAGCAAGTGTGCTATTGTGGGTGATTCAACTGTCGGGAAAACAGCAGTAACGCAAATGTTTATTTCTGACGGAAGAAATTTCCCTAAGAATTATAATCTGGTAAAATAAAATTACTTGAAGGAATTGTGAAAAATACAGTTCATACATATTTTCACCCTACTCAAAAATTTTTTTTACAGACTTGTGGAGTGGAATTGGGAATACGAACTGTGTCTATACCAGATACTGATGATGTAGTTGAACTTTTTTTGTATGATTCATCAGGGAGAGATTTGTATGCTGATTATCTACCTAAATATGTACGTTTCAAATTTAAATAATTGTAATTGACAGTTTTATGTTATCATGTTTTCTAACATTAATTAAATTTGCAGTGGCATGAACCAAATATGTTATTGGCTGTTTATGATGTGACATCACAGATTTCCCTTGATTCTGTTGGACGTTGGGTATCCATGGTACGTAATTCAATTCCAGTGAGAGGTGCATCAAATGCCCCAGGAGTTTTATTTGGCAATAAGACAGATCTTAAAGAAAGGAGAACTGTTAGCCCTAAAGCTGGAGCATCATTAGCAGAACGTTTAGGCCTTCAGTACTTTGAAGGATCTGCAGTAAGCAATTATAAACTAGTAAAAAAAAATACAAATTTTTATTTTGCATGTTACACGTTAAATATATTTAACATATCTATACATTTATGTATAAAGTTTACATTACATATATTTCTCAATGTTAATGTTTTACAGAAAGAAAACTATGGAATTGAAGAACCATTTTATCTTCTTGCTCATGAGTGGCATAAATTTATAACAGAGAAAAGGGCTGGATTTGATCTTATTACATAGCATTTTGTATCTTCTTTATCTCTTGTATTTTTTACAATATACAGTAAAATTTCTTTGTTAACATAGTCACCAAAATGTGAAATGTACTCTTGTATACAATGCTTCTAAGTGTCAGTTAAATATTATTTATGAAGTGTAGTCTGCCTTTCTGTGCAATGATTCTAGTTTTCTTCTGATCTTGTGAACTTAATGTATTTGTTTACAATAAACGTCGCTTCCTTGTGAGACACAATTTTGTTCTTTGAAAGTCCAACGCTGGATGATCCACATTGCTATTTTTCATTACAGCTTCTTCATTCCACTTTGAACATTATGAATATATTACGACCAAAATCATTACTAAGAATAGAAATTGCAAATTACTGTTTATATTGAAATTGATTTGAATTTACCTCCATTTTTTTAGAAAAATTACTTTTTAAATTCAAATATAAATTTGAAGAAACAGTGTCTGGTGTGAAATCTTCAATTAATGGCAATTCATTAAATGTAATATCTATATTATCTCTAATGTTTTGAGACAATTCATCATTAGTTTGCAGTAAATCAATCTTTCTATTTGGCAGTACTAATTCAGAAGAAGCTACTGCCCTTAGCAATAATGTGTCTTTTCCTGTCAATAGAAATTACCATACCTAGTGTTTATTAATTTTGACAAAAATTTTCTAAATGTTAAATATGTCTCCAAATGATATACATTACCTGGAATAAGTATATAGTGACCTGGCATGCTGATATTTTCCTGAGAATATGTAGACATTGCCAATAAATATTCATTTTTATCTAGTAGTTGCTTACATAATGCATAAAAATTCTGAGGGAAAAAAAACAACAGTTTCTATCTTAGTGATAAGTACTTATATTTTTTTATTAATATGTACCAAAATGAAAGATGTATGGGTAGTTCACTGCAAAAATTAGATTTTTCAAAAAAATTAAATGCTATCCAAAAAGATTACAAGAAATTAAGTTGACCAAAGAGAGAACCTAGATGTCTGATTGAAAAAAATATTCCACTCAAAAGATGAGCTATCAAACTAATAATCATCTGTGATGAGATATTGGAAAACTCAAATAGACATAGCGTTAGATGCATTTAGATGAAAAAAAAGCAGGCACAGTTATCCAATTCGTGAAGTAATAAAGAAAAATATTAAAATGAACTCTTTTGGAATTTGAAATACATGGAAAATTGAAAACCCATCAACTGATTTCCATAATTCTGGAATTTCCCAACAATCGTGAAAAGTTATTCTGCATTTGTGTTATAAATTCAAATGCAACTTTACAAATTTGAACAACAATATAATTTTCCGATTTAAATAAGAATTGGATGGAGACTACCTTTCTTTGAAATATTCATTAACTAAAAATACACTAGTTCAATTAACCAGTATCTACTGTATGTATATTTACATATGTATGTGTGAAGTGTGTTAGTCTAATGAATATTTCTTTATTTACTCTACATACACTAGAATAAAGTGTGAAACCTATGGATGTCAATAATATGTTCAAAGTATCACGCAGTGAGTTTCAAGGAAACAACATTGAGATGATGATGATGACTCAATCTACAATTGAATGTTTTAGCCAAGAGAAAAACTGCCTTATTATTTGAGTTTTATATTAACAGCGTGGGTCAGGGAGGAGAAATGAGGGACCCCCACTCCCTCATTTAGTAACTATTAATTTTAGTTTTCACAAAACTTTCATGCAAATATACTTTTTGAAATAATTAAAGCAAGAAACTCACATCAACAGCATCGATATAAGGTGGCAAGCCCTTTGTCATTCTACAACAAACTGCTTACATGACATTCAACCAAAGCTCTTTATAAGTACTTTTCTATATTCTTTGCGTGTAAAAAACATTTATACTGTGTATCTGTTCTGGGTATGTGTTATGTGTGTCTAGAGAGAAAGAGACACAAGGAATACTCACCGCAAAAAAATTGTCTCTAGATCTGCCCCTGAATTATATTTGAGAACACATATTTTACATGTCTGCAGTAGTTTTTGTCCAAATACAACGCACCCTGGCCGTTAAGTTTCATACATCTTGCACCCCTCAAAATTTGCCACCATCCTGCTTCTCCCACCGAGTTCTTTTATTAATTTATCTTACTTTCCTAGTAAACCAAGGACATTGTGACATGCTTCAAAAATTAATCCCTAAGCATTTCAATAATACCATGCCAAAAAGTTCTTGAAGCAATTTTTTCCTTTTAACTTTCAATTGAAATTTTAACATGCATGTACGTGAACTTAAGAATTCAAATACTTTTTGTTTTTCTTTTCATTACCTATAACAGTTTGCTATTTATTTGTAAACTCTGAATGGTCAGAAACTTATTATGCAGTAGTACACAATCAAGCTCACTTGATTTTTTAAATATTTCTGGTTTTAAGTAGCTACTTGAATACTGTAGACAACCTGTGTAAGTTGCCAACAAAATAATTTCAGTATTTTATTAATATTTTGTTCCATTCCTATTTTTCATGTTAATCTGACAATTTATATTGAGAGGAAAGCAAATAATATTGCAAATAAAAAACAAGTTCTGGATAGTCTTGTGAAATACAAATGAAATCTTTAAGAATTCAGTTCATTTGTATTTACTCATTATAAATGATCCAACTTAATAAAATTAATGTTGTTTTTTAAATGAGAAAGAGAGAGAGCGAATTGCATACTATCCAAATCTTAAATTCTTACCAATTGATTTATTGTAGAATCATTCCCTTCTAACTGCCAGCATTTTGTTGGTGATAATTTTTGTGGAAGCCCAAATAGTAATGATTCACACACTCCACTGCCAGAAATTCTTTTTGTAATAGTTAAATTGTACACTGGTATGTGTTTCTCTATAATAAATAAATACTGTACTTAATATATACTATATAAATAAATTTGTACTATATATTAATGTACTACCTGGAAATTTTATTACACCACTTCCTTTGAAATAATCTGTTTGGATTTGGTAAAAATGACCAAGTGGTAGGAGAAAGGGGTTAATTACACTGTCCACTACATCACATTTAATTACAATTTTTTTCCTACTATTGTTGCAGTTATTAAAATGAATACAGATATGTTCTTGGCTTGTATCACAATCTAATAACCATAATTTAAAAAACTGCTCTAATTTGAAACTGTTTAATGTTATTTGGGTATGATCAACTAGAACGCCAATTTTAGTCAAATCATTGATTGATTCAGTTATTTGAAGTATCTGTAAAAGACAAAAATTGTATTAAAGTATTGAATTTCATGTATTGTTATTAACTTAAATCTCAGTATAGCATACATGAATTTTTTTAAGTTTCTCTATAGAAAAACTTTTCACTATGTCTTCCAAGTACTCTTGAATTTTTGATCCATCCCTGAGTGTTACTATTGTAATAACAACAAATTGTGAGATAGGTTTTTCTCTGGAAGTACTCTGTGGAGAGAAATGGATATGTCTCAAATCCTTGAGCATTTAAAATTAGAACCATTTACAATATGAGATAATTTAGTTAAATTAAGCTATTATTCTTTATTCTCTAGATATTTATAAATCTAATTTTAGTTTCTTAAAGTTCTTGAGTCTCAATGAATTATTTTTATCTTGAAAGTTTTATTAAATATTTAAAGGTGAAAAATATACAAGTCAAAAAAAGGTTGGTAAAAATATTGTGAGCTTCTTAAGCATATTAATACTTATTATATATCATATTTAAACTTTAAGCAGAAAATTTTCAAAACAACTTTTAAATTATATGGGTAATTAAATTCCTTGGAATTATTGCACTTTTCACCTTATTTCAAATACCTGACTGCTTAGTATCCTGTTCAGAAGATCCTATTCTGAACAGGATCTGAACATATTTTGTGCCAATTGTGTAACTCTGCAGATAGTATTTGGTAATTGTTAAAATGTATGGAATACCATTATCTTTTGTGTAAACTCAAGTAATACATACTCCAACATTATGTTTCAAACCATATTCTTCCAGTATCTTACAAATTGCAAACTTGAGATTGTCAATAAAATGTTGAAAAGTACTCTTTTCATTACTTCTCACCTGGAAGAGAGATCCTCAGAAAAAATGATCAACAGTTTGTATACACAGAAAAAGGAAAATTACTTTGTCATTCAATCACTTTTAATAAATAGACATTTGAAGACTGACTTTGGTTTTTCGCTAAGTTATTTTTTTCATTTCAGAGTAGTGTGTGATGAGTTGTAGGTTTGATAGTATATGAGATGTGTTGACAGCAGGCAGCTCTGTATTGTTAGAAAGTATAAACAAAAAGTACTCCACTAAATGTGTGTGTGTCTCAAGCTGAGGACAGAAGCAGATGGTTCTAGCATCACTCTTGTCTGATTGTTCCATTGGTATTTGTTAACATATTATATTGTAGATGCAATTTATATGTTAATAGCTTGAATATTCTTCACTAGGATTTAATTTTCATATTCAATCTTATTATTTTGCAAAAGGGAAAATACCCTAAGTAAAATCTTTATTTAGATAAAAATCATTCAAAATCATAATTACCATATCTTCAAGAGACTTGAAAGATTTATTAATTTTGGGAAGATTTCCACGAACATGCACAAATTGCAAAACATTGCAATAGTTGATGTTTATAAATGACATCCCAAACTCAGGTACGCGTACACCACCATACATTGAATTTGCTAGAGTTATAACATTCGCAACAGCCTAAAATTTTCATGAATCATTAGACAAATATTACAGAGATCATAATATTATATTTGAAAAGAAAATTATGAAATACCTCAATAATGAATCTCAGAATTTGAGGAGTCATGGGATTTCCCACATCAATTAACAAATGTTGTGCAGGTTGGGAATGAAATGCTGTTCTTGTCCTGATCGGAATATTCATGTTAAAAAAAATTATTATATTAATATATTTAAACCATTTAAGAGCTTCAAAAACTTCATCCAACGACTATTTCAAGAAATGTTAATTCAAATTTCCCACTTTGGTTTCATGTCCCACTCCTGAGAGTTAACAGTGACCGTTTTGGACAGGTTACTATTATACCTAATGCCACTTTCGTCTTAATTTCAATGTCAAGTTCTGAATTACGATTTGTTTAGCTCTGTATCTTTAGTCAACGCCACCTACCACCTATTATCTAGGTGGCGTTGCTTTATAGTACACTGTGATCTTTAGTTAGTAAAGATCTTAAGATACTATTTCTATGGTAAAGATAGACGATGCGTTCCCTTGACCTGCCCTCGTTCACAAATCGACTCCCAACGCCGCACGATTGGAGAACGAAAGTTCGTTTATATGTACAGTGTGAAGGCGCGTCCACACGATGCGTCTTTTCTGTGCGTCACGGGAATGAAATTGCGTGCGCAAAGTTGGTCTTTCTACAACAACAAAATTAGTATATGAGGATTTGTTCTTCAAATAAAATTTGTTGTCCATAATTTGTTCTTTCATTAAGGTCATGTACATTTTTTGTAACTTTAAGGGCCCCTTCCCACGTCGCGACGGCGGTGCGCTTCCGAACAGCGCAGCTCGTAGAAGAGCATTGGTTTGAATGGAGACCTTCCCACATGTAGCGGGCCGGAATCTAGCCACGCGAAGCGGAGGAGGTGGTACGCGCCACCGCTAGCAGAATACAGCTTTAAATGGTATCCTTCCCACTGTGCCCTCGGTCGCTGCGTTTTACCTGCTGCGGTCCCTTTGTTTCTAGTTGCCGGAGGGACAGCGAAACATACCCCTGCAGAACCCACTCCCTTCGACGGCGGGCGGCGGTGCGGCTGTGATTGCGGCGGTGGCGGCGTCGTAAGGGCTCTGCTACTTGAAGGAAGTGCGGCGCCGTGGCAACGTGGGAGGGCCCCTTAGTAGTTTTCGCGCAATATTGAGTGCGATTTTAAAATATTACAAAAACAAGATTTACTAAAAAACAGCTCCAAATTCTTTCTTAAACTTTTGGTGGGGATAGTGCTAAATGTATTCTACAAGATGACATAAACGCCATATTTCTCTATTCTTTTGTTTCTTCAAAAATTCCAAAAATGTAATTTTTTGACTTGTCTCTCATATCATTAATATATTAGCAACAATTTGTTCACATTATCGTTTCTATGAGTACAGGCGTTTTAAATAATGTCATATAAAGTTTCTTAAAAACTGAACAATTTTCTGTGGAAAATAATTCAAACTTCCGCATTTTCAGAAACAAACGCCATTTTTTGAAAAACGGCTTCCAATGTTTTCTTCAAACATTTTGAACGGATAGTGCTAAATGCAGTCTTTAATATGACGTAAAGTTCATTTCGGGGATTTTTTTTTTCAAAATTGCACAATCTTTTTAACCCCTCACGCCGTTAATGCCCATTTCTAGCAATTTGTAAACACTATTGTATTTGCGAGTTAAGGTACTTCAAATTATTGTAGTTTTTCGGGAACTTAAAAATGCTTTGTGAAAAAGAGCTTCAAATTTTGAATTTGAAGTAGCGCTTAATCGCTATTTCCTTAAAAAGTCTTCAATTTTTTAAATGAAAATTGTCATTTATGACGAGGTTTTACTGTTCTTTAATATTTACAATTACTATTAGGAAACCGAAAAATTAGGAAAATGTTTAAAAAAAAGTACTTTGGGCGGCAATAGATAACAGCTGGCAAGAGTATGTGGCACGTTCGTATAGCTAGCCGAGACAAAAGGAAATAGAAAACTAATACCGAAAAGTCTGTTCCATTCTCTAGCACCACTAGATCTTGTATGGAGAGCCGGTTAAAACTACAATCTTCCCAACATTTTGTTTGCATTAAAGTGGTTTTATTTGAGGTATCATTCTTATATCCTGAAGTGATACCGTGACTACAGTTATTGAATCAGATGGGGATGAGGTTTGTTCTCCTTCATATGTTTATTATCCTTCTGCATGGCTAAACTGGCATCACAAACTCTTTGACAAAATGCATCAATTCCGGCACTATCCGTTCTACCATTAACTGGACTTGGGCGGCAATTTTCCTTTTCTTCCATGAAGTGGAGTTCTGTTAAGATCCCATCATCATAAGGTTAAACACCCTCGGCGTGAAATCCGCTCATCGCATTATTTTTAGTTGCTACCCTGTTATACACTTTACCCATGCGTTCGGCGACCTCATATTGAGTGACAATTTTTCCTGCATTGTTGGAAATCCATTTTTCAATTTCTTGATTGTAAAATGTTTTAGACTGCTTCATTATAGCGATGTCAAATGGTTTCAGACGGTGGGTGGTGAGAGGGCAAGCCGACCATGATGTGGTTTTCTCGTGAAAAATGTATACCTTCCGGGTTTCTTGTATCTGATTAGTAGGGCCCGGATAGGTATGTAATATATTTTCCGGATATTCGAGCGGAGGCTGAGATATGAGCTGTGTGATGTTCATTTGTCTGTCACTGCAGTAACGTAATGCAGAGTATCCAACTCATTTACTGTCTTGCTATTAATACCAGCGTGTGCAGATCGTGTTTTTCTTTGCACTAGGCGTTTTTTGCAAGTTTTTCAGCAATTTTTGTTATTTGAGTGTGTGTGTGTGTTGATTTCGTCATGCCACAATTCAACTTTATGAAGTTAATGCACGTTGCGGCCACCGAAGAAGCTGCAGTTCGGTGGGTGAGAGACCAGGGACTTGTTCCTGCTCGAAGGCAGTGACTCTGTCCGACGCTGCTTACTGCGAGGCCAGCAAACAATGTAATCGGTTACTTTTTGTGCCAAAAAACTTCGGAAGACCTCTTAAATATCAGGAGGTTCAGAGCTGCTGCGACACTGAAGACGTTTTTTCATAACGCGAAGGCGTCAGTGCGGAAAATCCTAATAATGCTATACTGCTTTCTTATGGCAGACACCTACGAGAGAACGCGGAAGGAATGTAAGCTGGACAATGACGCGCCAATTGCGGATTCTACCATTGCAGAATGGTTCCAGGCGTTTCGAGGTGTGTGTCTGGACAGTTTATACAAACGTTTCAAAGAAGAAAACAAGATAGGAAGCGAAGGACTATTCTAGAAATACTCGAGAGCAAGATTGACCTCAGGATGTTCCATCGCGGCCGTATGGTGGAAGGAAAGTAGATGCTAAGCACGATCGATCAGGAAACTCGGGAAATTCGTTTAGAAGTGTGTCCTGATAATAAAAGGGATGAAGATACTTTGTTACAACTGATTGTTCAGCACGTGAAACGGGTACCACAATTTACGCGGACTTTTCGAGAGGCTACTATCAGTTACAGCGGAACAAATTTATACACGAGGCTGTGAACCATTTCTTGTATTTTGTGGACCCTGTAACAGGAGTGTACACTAATAATACAGAATCAAGCTGTCGGCCTTTGCGAAGAAGACTTTCTTGCGAAGGAGTTTGTCACGAGGATATGGCGATGTATCTTGCCGAATATCTTTGCAAACAAGACTGAAGATTATTAAATAGATATAATTTTGGAGTAATGGTAGAAGATATGAGGAAGTTGTACCCTGGTCATGTATAAATAATTCAATTTAAAATTTAATATCATTGTGTCGAATATTCATTAACTCCCTATCCATTACTGTTCCATATTTCTTACGCTTAGGTTGGCAGTATGATTACAACTAGTGGTGGAAATCATAGAGGAGAGATACAACTTGTATCTCTCCTCTATGGTGGAAATGACGCCAGCAAACAAATGCGCATCGAACCTCGCTCATAACAAAGACGGCGCAACAATCCCCCTTTTTGCCAACGTAACTCTGTCAAGTCGAATCAACGATATCTTCACTATCAGATCGGATAGTGTCAAAAAAGTTGACTTTTTAGTACGTATTTTTACATATTTTACCCAAAAGAACATGTATTTACATATTATCAAATTTTTCCATTATCTGCAATTTTTTTAAAATTTAATTCTTCATTTTTCCTGTGTTTTTGACAAGGAATCTCTCACACAAACAATTCATCTTTGGCAAACCCTTTCTTGTGTAGCCTTTTCTCTAAAATGCCTCTATTGCATCGCGTTGAAATGAGTCTGTTCATACCGACGTAATTGCAAATAAAAGGGCAAGGCGACGACGCAATCCCTAGCTTGTGGGTGTCGCTAAGAACACAATGGAAGTTAGATTTGTGAAAATGATACGTTCACTAGGCGATATCACGCACCCACTTTGCATCTTTCAGGGGTCTCCCGTGGTCTTGATACCCTTTAGAACACACGCTCAGCTCAGAAAGCGCCGTTGACATTCTTTCCCCGATTGTTAGTGATATCGCCGAGTGAGAATTTAGCACAGAAACGTACGTCAGTTTGCGTAGATTTTTATTTTGCATGTAATTCCAATTTCTGTTTGGATGGCACCTTATCATCCATCTATCAAATTATCCTAAATAAATAAGTGTACGTCCAGGACTCATTTAACTTCAGCGATATCACGCAGTCAATTGAGAGATTAAACGTCACTAGTGATATTCGAGCTCCCAATTGGATGACACCGTAACAGCTGAAGAACTGCCGAAGGACATTATAAATAAATCGAAGTAATACAGATCCAGGATTTCATTCTCTAATGAGCCCAAGAAGCAGCCGACGCTTTTCATACATACCCCACCACCGAAGTTAAATCTCCTTAAAGACTTCGTGGACTTAAGTTTTCAGGAACCTTTGTTTTATTGTAATTATGTGGTCCAACGCCTCCTAAGGTAACGTTTAAAATAAATCCATCTTTCAAGTTTTTCGCTTAGAACAAGAAAACTATACTTCGGTTTTTGTTACGTGACGCGTCAGAGCCTTCATGATAGAATATCTCACGGCATTTAACGTCATTCTCGGACGCGCCGCTCGATATCGCATGACCCTATTAAGTATAATGCGATGTGTCTAGCGGCACGACCGAGAAAGACGCGAAATGCCGTGTACGCACTTTCTTAAAAAGATGTTATGGAATAGAAATGTATAATATTATGGATGAGTTTATATTTCTTGGCGCGCGAGGCCTAGTCTTCACGATGGAATCTCACGGTATTTCGCGTCTTTCTCAGTCGGCACTAGATGTCGCATGATAGCGAGCACTGATCGATACGATCGCGATCATGCGTCATCTAGCGGCACTACTACGAACGACGTGAAATACCATGTAATGTTCCATCGTGAAGACAATGACTCGCGTGCTAGGAAATAAAAAACCAAAAATTCATTTGTTGCGAATTACGACCGAAGTATGCTTCGTCAGACGGTTTAGGAGGGATAACAAATTATAGCAAAACTCGCACTCTTCTGACAAATGTTTTTTAAAATTTTTAATTATCTATTATGACTCAAAATGCAAGAAAATAGTTCCTACAAAAAGACTTTTTCTTGAGACAAGCGATGTAGGTGCTAGAAATTGTTCGTCTAATTCAACTTTCCTCTAACAAAATGTTATACTGAAAAAACATTTTTTGGCATTGTGGAAATTTTTTCCACAACAATATGTGCTCTAGTGCCACCATAAATTACCTGACAGGTGTCACTGCCCAGAGGAAGCCTGCGAAATGTCAGGCGAAACGTCGGCACCCCAGCCGACGACGCGGCGTCTCCCGGATAGCCGAGAATTCATGGATTCGAGCCGCGGATGCTTACGTATACTAGCGCCACCATTGTCTATCGGAAAGTTAAGATTATTAAAGTTGTAATCAAAATTCAGCATCAAAGCCTTACAAAATGGTAGAAAAGAATAAAAATTACCAGTTGACTAAACCATACTCTTATATGTACTCTCTGGACTAAACCATATGGGATTACAATTTTTATTTAGCATATTCTTTGGGACCCTCTGATTTGAATTATTGTATATTTCGTCCAATCATTTATTTTATAAAGGTTTTGTATTATTACATTGATGCTTGTATATTGAGTTTCATTCTCGAAGTTTAATACAGAAAAATTAAACCCATGAAAATTTATGAACTTTAATTATACAATGGCATGCTCATACTGCTGAAAATATAATATATCTTTATAGAACTCTTGAAGATATGTGAACTCACATGCTCAAAATGTCAAGAATAAAACTCAACATATATGCATCAATGTGATAACACAAATCCATCATAAAATAAATGATTGGACAAAATATACAATAATTACTACTTTTCATTCAATAATGCTCAACTTGCACAAATTCTAAGGTAAAGGTACTTTATATGTAGGAGCACATCCCAAATATTAATATAATTTAGTTGAATGTATTTAAAACTACAAAACATACAAGAAACCCTCCTTAATTGTTAAGTGTCAAATCTTGCTGTGGCGACCTTGCGAGAAATTCCACATAATATTAAACGTTAGCATAGATGGGGTGATCTGAAATTTTCCAGGCTTGCGTTTCAATCACTTTCATTTTTGTAGTCTTATTGGGTCTTCAGCAGTCTTAATTAATATTTTCAGAGTCACGATATTTGCTGCAATTCATACTTTTTTCTGGGCATTTGAAAATCAATTCATTGAAAAACATTTGCCTAGAAAGTATGGATCACACAACAGTTCATGAAATTCATCAAACTCCTCATCTTTGATTCATTTCACACATTCTTTCCTCCTTCCTTAATCTGTCACAGTGAATACAAATACTTCCTCACTTATAATTCTTTTAAAAAATTCAATGATGTATACTTAGCCATCATTGTCAGCTGACTGTTGGACAGATCTTTAAATATAATAAAATAAACATTCTTGAGGCCAATATGTCAAACTTAGGCTGTGTTAACCATGTAATATTAACTTGTACTTACATTCATATTACATTAAATTTTTGAATTCGTAACTTTTAAATAATTGTCCATGGAAAATAAGCGTACAAATTCATCCCTTAAAACAATAATAATTTTTTAAGATTAAGCATGTCATAAGAATTCATTATCAGATTATTTGCAATCAAAACTTCAAAAGTTTTTTGAACTGTATTGCTGTGTAAATGCTTTTTGCCATTGGCCACCTCAGTGTGACAATTTATTTTAATTATGGGGAAAATTATTATTGCATGGAAAATAAAAGTTTTCCATTTCTGTATCCCCTTCTTGACAATTCCACGTCTATCACTACCTTGATAAATGATTTATTACAGGTTGTAATGGATAATCAAAGTTTGGTATACCCTTAAAATTACTTCTAAGAAAGTGCATCCCAATTTAAGTGCAATAAATTTATGAAAGCTACATTAGTTTATTTAAATGAAAGAGTTCGTAAACTAGGGTCACACCTGTATGTTAATGTTATATTTTACCAATTGAATATGATAAAGAAAAAAATTGGTATACTTGTGTGTACATACTTTTAGAAACTTATCTTATCCTTTTGAATGGCACTAGAACTAATATGTACATAAAATCTTTGTAAATTATCTTGTTTCCGCTGGAAAACATATGAAAGGAAATATTTTTAAATACATTCTATAAAATGCACAGACACTGGGTCAACGGTCAATTAGAAATCACACGGAAAAGGGATAAATAACCTTATCCATTTTCAATTTATCCAGAGACCAAATTTTCAAGTTAACAAACTGTCAAGGGCATCTCTTGCATATTCATAATATATTAGTTCAAGTAACATTGCAGTAATTTTTTCTTTTTAAGGATCCATTGACACCTTTCATCTGCATCTTGTTTTGAACATGACACTCTTGGTGGAGTACAACTCACTGTTGCAGATTGATAACTTTTTTTTATATATTCTGACATCTAATCTAAAATGTTGCTGAAAAGAACATGAAAATGTTTTTTATTAGCTGTTGGGATACACGTACTGACAATGATCATTACATGAAGTTACATATTAAAAAAAAAAAAAAAAAAAAAATCAATTATAAGTGAAAAGAAATCATTAAAAGTAAGCCTTCAGTAAATACTTATTAAAATTCAGATAGGAAGAAAATGATACTCAAAACTAGGCTTGGTTGATTTGAACAGTTAAATGGGCCATTAAGATTTTTGTAAATACAATTTCATGTTGTATTGGAACTGAACTTATAATTGATTATTAAATAAACAATATATTTCTCTTTTTAAATACCATTATTTTTATCATAATCGGAGATAATAAAATGTATATATTCACTTATGTTAAAAATTGTAGGGATTTAATTAAGGGACAGGAATATTTGTTTTTTTATGCTTATAATGAGTGTAATAAAATTATAATTCTCCATTATTCATTTAAATATAACTTAATAAATATGATTTTATTTCACAACATGAATAAAATTCATCCATTTTTCAAACAATATGAATAAGTATAGTAGCTGCTGTTGCAAAGCAACAATACAAACTGAAATTAATTCTCAAAAACCCAAAGATTACTGTTAAACAGGTTTCAAGCAAATTGTTTACTTTGTAGTAATGATTACACTGGCATAACTCTAAATTCTTTTTTTAAACTTGAAGAGGTACCTGGTTCATGCAAAAGCCTCAAGATTGAAGGCAATATATTACATACATTGAATTTTTGAATAGAGGGAGATGCTTCTTGAATATCATTTTTCAGTTCATAATATAATTCTTCAAAAACATCATGTCTTGTTCTGTGATAATTAACAATAATTGAGTTTTCTAAATTTGTGTAATGCTCCAATAATACTTGAATTTTAGGAACAAACCGACCAATTACACCGTCTCTTGTTGTATACTGAACAGAAAGAATTTCAGTAATACAACTAATTCGTCCTAACATATTAGAAATATCCACAATGGACAGCTTTGCTTTTTTTACTATCTTTTTCCACTTTGCAAGGAAACTAGTTAGAGATTTTTCTTCCCCATTGTATCGAACAACATACATTGTAGCTTCCACTTGACGAATATTTTTAAATCTTGATGCAAATTCAACAACACTAATAAATTCCTGTTTCTTATTTCCAATATCAAACATGAATTTGCATTCATCTTTCCGGGCGTATCTGAAGTCTTCAAGGTTCTTCCTAATGTCGATAGATAAATCGTTCATTAAAAACTCATTTGGTAATAAAAAACTCGCAACAGTGTGCAAAAGTTTATTTCCCAATCTGACCCCCTTCTTCAATCCATTTTCCCTTTTTTTACATAATTCGAAAATTGTTGCGCGATCTACATCAGTTGAAATTTTGGCGCGAGCTCTTTGTAATATCTCATGACATAACGTTACCTCGTCATCAACACAAGCATCCTCGTCGATATTTGCCGTGGGAGATTCACTGCCTAAATCTGGAAAAAAAGAATATTCTTGAGCTTGCACTTCCTCTATTATTACCTCTAACAATGATCTTACGTTATTCTCACACACTTCTGTATAGAGAAAATCTTTCACAATAGAATACACAAATAAATGTAAATCTGAGTAGATTAATGCCCTACAGAGGGCATCTCGACAGTCACTAGCACTGGACCATAAAACACCAAATACGTCTGTTCTTCTCACTCTATCCATCATCTTATCTACAGATATTTTATTACGGTCACACTCCATAATTATTTTGTAAAACCGTTGTCTTCTTTCTGAATCACTTAAAATTGGAAACTGTGCAGGAAATAGGAACTGTATACCTAACCCATCGGTATAACATGCAACATACTTCTTTTGGAGTGAACACGTGATTGATTTCTTCTCATCACCCTCTGCATCTGGCATAAATATCTTAACTACAGGTTGTTCACGATCAATGAATTCAATTAATTCAGTCTTCTCAATACAATTTTGATGACAGTAAACACAATAATTCTGTTCTGGGCCAGCCCCTTGCTTGATGTTCTCGCCAATGAACAGGTCTGAACATTGTTCATCGTTTTCACTTCGGAAGCATACAATAACATCCATCGTGTAGTGCAGAAGTAGATACGAGGCGGAATTTAAGAGGTCGGGATAACGGCCTACATTTAATCAAAACTTTGGTTCCTACGTTATTACAACGAAGACATTGTTCGTGGCCTCAACATACATCGTGTCGTACAACGTTCACTGTATTCGTGAGATATTCATGGTGTTCATGGTTATTGCCACACAATACCTTACGTACACCACAACTACGGTGTAAGAAATATACAATTATATCTTACACCGTGGTAAGACGAAATACTATACAGTATATATTAATATACAATATACTATAAAGACCTTCTGTAGTATTTGGAATAACTAAATTACAATCTTATCTGCGCCCAATCCCTCAAGGTACACCGTGTACAGGAATCGATTCACTACCTATACTACAATTTTAACAAAGAAGCCTCTCCAGGCACGTCTTCACAGTGGCATTATGACACTGCATTTCACGTCTTTCTCGGTCATACCGCTAGATGTCGCGTGGTCGCGACCGTATCAAGAACTGCTTGAGCAAGAGACATCTAGCGGCACAACTGAGAAAGATGCGAAATGCTGTGACAGAACGCCACTGTGAAGACAGGCTTTAAGAGACAACTTTATAAAAATCGCATTATACTGAAGTGAATTATTAATCTCTCACTTTTATAATATTTAAATATTTTTTTATAATGCTTTACTGCCCCACATTGGTCATGCTATTTAAGTGAATGAAAATTCTTCCTTTATAATCATTCAATTTACAATATATTTTATTGTATTTCCCTATAATTACATTCCCCGATTTATGTACTTTGCCTGTCTTTGATCGTGATATTATGGTAATTCACTATTTGCCCCTATAATTTCTCTCAATATTTCTAATTAAGTGGAGTGTCTCTAGTGTTTAGCGTCAGCATACTTACGCTTCCTCAGGGTATTGTTCTTTTCTTCGTGGGCTAGAAAACACCGTTCATACGAGTATTCGGCTGGAAAATAATTTAAACAGTTAGGAAATACAGTAAAATCTGGCTAAACACGAACCTGTACAAGCCGGAAACTTGTATTAACCGAAACATTTCTCTAGCCCGTGAAGATTATATGGAATTAACATCGCATAAAATGGAATCTGTCCAACGCGGAAACGAAAGGTTTTCATGTTCTTAAGGGGGGGTATTTATAAAACGGAATTCTTGTGAATTTTTGCAATTGGCAGACGCGAGATATTCTTAATGTAATAAATGAATCTGCAAGCCTGTTTTCAATTAACTGCCCCACGCGATCTAGTCGTGGCAACCGCACTGTGAAAGGGCGAGGTTTCAACTACCTGCGTAGAATTTGACCTAAGGGTGTCGTGTCTCTCAAGACGTAAGCAATAAGGAAATTCCACTCTCCCAAACGCTCTTTCCTTGAGGTGTTCGGGCATGGATTCTATTCACGTCTACCCTGTCCTACGTTGAAAATCGTAATACGGCTAGAAACGCATTGCTCAACGTCATACGAGGGTATCAGGAAATCATAGTACTCTGGACTGTGACGCATTGTGCGTTGAAAGAGTGAGCAAGGAGTCGGATTGCAGCCATTAGGCAGTGAGAGGGTGTATGTTTTTAGGAGTTTCACAACAAATTTAACAATTCAAAAATCATACAACTCTAACATTAGATGAAAAGATCAAACTTCTGAAAGCAAAATAAAACTCAGAAGCTGTCAATGAAGAATATTTAATATTCATTTATTGGTGATTTCTTCCAGAAATCCGTTATATGTAAATGAATTTTAATATATAATTCATTGTGAATATGAATCACATCATATTCATAATAATATCATGTAATTTTTACTTGACTTTAATCACCTCTTTACTTACTAGTATTTATTTACTAGTTACATAACGGAAATATCAATATCACAAGGGTAGTAAATAGGACAACTCTTCATAAACGGGAAACCTCCCTAATCCGGAATGTTTTTGTCGCGCCCTTTTTTCTCGGGATCCGTGTTTTCCTAGATATTGGCAAAGCGGGGATGTTCGTCACAAACGCTGCGATAGGGCGGAGAAACCGCGTGACGCGCGCCCACCAATCGCGAGGAGTGATGCGGGGGAGGGCCACGCGATCCGCAAGTCTTTACGGCAAGCTCGGAACGACCGCTCAGTCACTTACATTCGGAGCCGCGGAGAGAGCAACACTTACATTTCGATATCGATCAAGGAGACAACAAGAAATAGGTGAGCCTTGCCGAGGTGGGGGCGAGGGCGAGTTGCTCAGGCGGCCCACGGGGAGACGCCAGCGGATGGACTGCCGGATCGCCGCCGCCCGAATGCATTGCCGCAACTGGGGACACTGACTCTGAACGACGCAGTGGGTCAAGTACCCGACCGCGAGCCCAGTGACCAAGGGGCGAGACGCGATTGATGCAGCCGCGTACCGTGCCGCAGATGCCCGGACCAGCGCCCGTTGATGCCCCCACGCCGCATCGACGCCACGCCTGCCAACCGGCCGCGCCGCCGACCGCCTTGCTGATGGGCAAAGGGGTGAGGCGAGACGCAGCCTGCCGCCGACCGCACCATGCCTAACGCTGGGGCACTGGGCTACCGCTCCCGCAGCAAAGGTCGTAACTGTAGGTGAAGGACACCGCCCGGTAGCCGATGATGAACTCTGGCCCATACAGCCATGTAAGATATGTTAGATATAAGGTAGTTCTAAGGATTAATTTTAGCCAGAGGTTTCATCTCGTTCAAAAAGGAACATTAAAATCACATTTTGAAAATGAAACCATGTGTTGAATATAGGGTAACCAATGAAGTAAGCCCTATCACGTATGCCTCCCTTTAGGGAATCTGCGGACTGGGCAGCCGTGACAACTCTGGATGGAACGAAATACAGGTAATCAGGTGAGTCCGGGGTGACCACGACGGTCCGGGTGGTTACAATATATATATATATATATATATATACTGCATTGGCGATTATGTCGTAGTAACGCCCACCGTCACTTGCGACCGCGGCACACGGCGCAGCCCGGCAGCGCTGTGGCGGCGGCGGCAGTGGCAGCGTGCGCTCCCTCCCCTCTTCCCCGGTCGGCAGTGAAGGTGGCCGGGCGGGCTCCTTTGTATTGACTGTTTTGACCCTGCTGTAATCTTATGTTTCTCTTGTGGACTTTGGTTTGAACCTGGCTTCATTTTGGAACATCCTATAGGTATAAAAATCTAGCTCACGACAGTACGATTTTGGATACTGGACTCCATAAATGTATTTGACTCTGTGGGCTTGAGTTTATCAGCCTTTCCCGGTCACATCATATACATTCGACGACGTATTAAATATTTCATTCACATTTTTATGTAATTGTATGTTTACTATCTGCTACATTGTTCAAGCTTGTACATTGGGGTTTGTAAAAATTGCAATTCCCAGACGGAATGGCCGGCATTAAAATCGATGAATGTATAGAACAGTGTAGCCATAAAAAGTGGTTTAATTTTCTTGCCCTCTTTTGAGTGATAGATCAGGTCAGGATTACACCACACTCAGTCGGTGTAGAGCCGTCAAATGTGGTAGAAACGTACAAGCAAGTGTCGGCATGCATCGTCGGCACCAGAGGGTGCAATATCAGCATCTGAGTTTGAACGGGGCAGTATCGGTCTCCAAGAAGCGGGTTTGTCGTACTGACATTCCGGCTCGAACGGGGCGCGCTGTTATGACAGTGATGCGTGTGTGGTACCAGTGGAGCGATGAGGCTCGTACACAGCAACGAGCGGGTACTGGACAACACAATATGACCACAGCTCGAGATGACCACCATCTTGTCCGCATGTCTGTAATCGACAGAGCGGTGGCGTCCACAGTGTTGGCTCAACTTTTGAGCACTGCAACTGGTGTGGTCATGTCTGCGTCGACGGATTCCGTTGACCAGAAACCACCAACAGGCGTGCTGAGTGTTTTTGGACGAGTCCCGTATCAATTTGTGCTCACAGCGATGGCCACGTAGGTGTTCGACGCTTCCGTGGTAATCGCAATCAATCAGCCGGCATTGTTCCGCGCCATATCGAACAAACACCAAGTGTGATGGTTAAGGGCGTCATTGGTGACAATGTGTGATTTTGCTTCACACGTATTAAGGGCAAGATGATCAACATCAGGGGGCTCGGAGCCCGAGGAACTGCCTCTCCTTCAAGCAGCTCCGCATGCTATAATTCACCTGGACAATTCCTTACCGCGTGTGGCGAGGAATGTGCAAACTTTCTGCGAAGAATGACGGGCGCCATTGCGTCCGTGGCCTGCATGTTCACCTGACATGTGGTCCATCGAACATGTCTGGGATATGATCGATTGGCAACTTGCTCGTTCTGGTTCTCCTGCAACCACGGTCGATGCTTTGTGGTCACACGTAAAACAGGGTGGTGTTCTCCAGCAGCATATCCAAACTCTCTTTGAATCCATGCCACAACGTCTAGAATCTTTGATGGCAGCCCTTGGCGGCTTCACGCCGTACTAAATACTCAAGGTCAAAAGGTAGGTACATTTGTATATTGTGATATCCCTAACCTATGGAATAAATTTCACTGTAATAGTATGTCTCCTTGGTGTTGCAATTTTTTAAAACACCGGTGTACATTTTTGACTTTTAAATTGAAATAAAATAAGGGGGTTACATTTTTTAAAACCATTCTTTGTTAAGAAAAGCACTTTTTTTACATTTTCGCATTTACTAACGTAGGAAGAGAAAGTATTGAAATCGTGTGCTGGAAACGGCGAATTTTCGAAACACTCTTACTGCCAGGCCTTGATAGCGAAAAGTGGATAAATCCTTTTGCTAAATATAGAAAATAAATTCATCTAACACGTGTAGCCATAATCCTTCCTACTAGTTTACTTATTTACTGTTCGCTATTACATGCGAGTAGAAGAATGAAAATATTTCGTGCGGGTTTTCAGAAAATAATGTTTTCGAAATTTTATATATTTCTGATATTAAGTGAAATATGCTCATTTTTTCAAAATAATTAACATAATCTTTTTTAAAGAGTTGAATTTTAACAACAAACTTTGTTTAAGGCAAAAATAGCTGTCTCCAATTTTGTAGTTTTCAAATATTCATGTTTTTGGCAGTTTCGAAAATACGGAGCTATAGCTGAAAGTGAGACTAGCAACATGTTTTTTATAGTCCCTTATTACGTAGGTGAAGAGAAATTAAAGGAAAAAATGGGAGAGGTGTTTGAGAATTTTTTTTTAATTGCATTAATTTCTGACTTTATTTAAACGAGATCAGCTCCTTTTCTGGAAAAATCGTACATCAGCTTTTTTAAAGAGCTAACTTTTTACAACATACTTACTCTACCTCCAATTTTGTAGTTTTCGAATGTTTACTTTTTAGCATTTTTACAAAAATGGAGGAATAACCGAAAATGGATTAGCACCATATTTTTTACCGTCTTTTATTGCAATGTGGAGGAAATGTAAATAAAAAAGAGAAAAATTGCCTGTATTCATGCAATATTACCCAGAAACTATTATTATTTTCGAAAAATTTAACATTAACTTATTTAAAGATCAGTATTTAAGGAATTTCATTATGAAAAAATCTCTAACTTCAACATTAAAGTTTAGGAAGACTCCCCAAAAAATTGCACATTGAAAATTTTGTGATTTCAACATGAGACTACCACCATTGTCTTAAGGGTTTTTTATGATATCAAAAGACAAAGTTTGATAAAAAAAATTGCAGTTTTTAAGAAAATTTTGAATTTTTGAGGCTTAAGTGAAGTACACTTAAAATTAAAAAATATCCGTTTGAAAATCCCAAAGAGTTCGTTCACATCGATTGGTGAAAATCAATTTTAAAGAAAATCGACTGAACGGTTAAGGCGTTAATATTGACCACAGATGGACGGACATTTTTTGCCGTGAAGCGATTTTTCGTTATCAAGAAAAAAAAATCTGGCAACACCACGTGTTGGAGGACTTTTTCTAAATCTAGCAACGTAATTTCGTACATCTTCGTTACTAGAGGCCGACAATAAGGTTTTTTTTGGCGAATATCCGGCCTTTCCTGGCTCACGATTAGATAACTTTCTCTTCGTCTTCTTACGAAGAATTCGAAAGGCGAGAAATAAAACTAGTAGTGCTAAAACAGCACTATTTTCTCACTGTCATTAGTAATAGTTATGTAATATTATTTATATCACAATTTCTCTCTGAATTATGTTTTGTAAAACTAATTTGATGTCGTAGAACATTTGGTGCGAGAAATAAGCAGAATGCGAGAAAGTAAAATAATTAAAAGTTAATAAATAATAAGATATTGATAGCGTTAAAGACAAATAGAAAAATATATAATAATTATTAAACACTATAGTATTGTAATTTTCTACAAATATATAAAAATACTCATTTTCAATACCGCGAACGAAAACCAGCTGTCATTATCGGCTAGTTGTGCGGCGTTACAACAATGGGTACCAACAATGACTGCTCACCTATTCGTTTTCACTTTTAACACAATTAAAAACGCAATTTAAAACGAAGTAATATAAATAATAATAAAATGAAATATGAATATACAAATTCTAACTTAGGTACATAAATTTGGAGCTGCAGACTGAAATCTAGCAAGCTGCATTTCATATTTATTTCAAATAGGTTTTAAATAATTTCTAAAAGATTAATTTGCAAACGTATAACAAATGCTTCATTGCAAGAAACGAATAAATAAATATTAAATATAAAATAATATATACACCCTAACTTATGTAGTATTTAACTGCCTCAAAACACCTCAAAAATAAAGATCAAGGAGCACAGAATTTTTAGAATGGCAACTAACTGTGACGCCCAATTACTCCAAAAATACTCAAAGTTCGAAAAATTCAACATGACCTTATTTGAAAATCAGTTTTTGACAAATACATTTCATGAAGAAAATGAATCTGCATAAAGTTGTAAGAAGACGGCGAGTAAATTTTGTTTTTTTTCAATTTTCAAAAAATCAGGTTTTTCAACCAACTTAAGATCTGTACCATTTCTTCACATTATCCACCAACAAAATTCTACCAAAACACGATGGCGTTTTTTTTAAGAAACAAAAATTGTTTAAACAAAAATTAAAAATGTCTTTATTTCTCGCAAAAATACTAAAATTTTCAAAAAATGTACAAGACTTTTTTTCAAAATCTATCTTTAAGAAACAGATTTTATTAAGGAAAAAACTCTCTTTTTAATGTTTAAGTTGTAGGAAGATGCCGACAAAGATTTTGATTTTTTTTTTCAATTTTAGAAAAATCGGAGTTTTTGACCAACATGAGAACTGCGCCATTCTCTTAAACGTCCTCGAGACTATCCAAAAACAAAATTTGATAAAAATTGATACCATTTTTTGAAAATGTCCCGGGGTTTCAAGGGGTCACGACATTAGCCAGATCGAAAGGGGAAAATCTCAGATTTAGAGAAATTCGGCTGAACGGTTTTTCCGCTAGCGTTGTTCACAGACGGAAGGGCAGATGTTTTGCCGTCAATCAATTTTTCGGTATAAGCACCCACAAAAGCGATATTCTGGCTACACTACGTGGAGGATTTTTTTCTAAATTTAGCATATGGATTTATCCACTATTTCTTTACCACGGCCCTGTATTAAGAGTTGGTCGAAAATTCGCCGTTTTTTTCGCGCAGCATTACATAACTTTCGCAATAAATTCCTTCTTAAGCCCGAGAAAATAAAAATGGCTCCAAATTTTGATTAAATTTTGTTCTTGAATATTGCGAAGGACGTTTAAGAGAATGGTACAGGTCTAATTTTCGTTGAAATCTTTATTGCGCGGAGAACTGACTCGCGGATCACTAACAATTTCCGTTAATCACTTAGATGAAGGACGGAGCCTCATGAAATTGATCACGCGTAACGGAGGGCGGCAATTTAACCGAAACACGTTGGACCAAAATCTGGCGGAGGAAAAAATCCAGGGCTTTTGAAACTTGGCATGTTTGTACCCACCGCACATTATACTAAAAATCCCGAGGTGGGATATTGTTGTATGTAATTTGTATGTTGATAATGTTCATACTGCTTTACCAAACATTTGTATTAGATCCTTATCAAAAGACCTCTGATACTCGCAAGTATGACCAAAATAAGATTTGATAAGATATAAAATGTTCACTTTTTGGGGGGCAAAATATGCAACTGCACGTTATTGACTGTTGAACAAAAAATTACATACATTTTTGTAAGGAGAGTTTTACATACAAAATTTTGAGCCAGTTAACTTAAGACGATTAATGTTACAATAAAATCGGTAGGAACTTGTTTATTTTAATTTTACAGAGCATATTTTTCGGGACATTCGATAATTATGGAGGCCTACAGAAAAAAGAAAAATCTTCAAACGCCCCCCCCCCTCCCCTTCTGCTTAAACTATCACACAATGATTTTTAGTGTAATGTACGGTATGTACCAACGAACAAACATGCTAAGTTTCGAAACACCGGGATATTTTTCCCTCTGTCTAAATTGACCGAGCTAATTCACGTTAAAAGTTCGATGTTATAAATACGATGCTATTCCGGTTGCGGATAGATGTTAAATGCCAAATTCTCGCACGATGAGCCATTGTATTCGCGTTCATTACAATAAGGGAGAAGAGCCGATTTTTATAACATTATCTTCACTTGCAAAATAATTGACATAAGTACTCCTGAAAACGTAGTCACCTTAATATCACCATTTCGAGCACTTTCAGACATGTATATCTGGTGAACCTAATTCGAGAGAACGATTTTCCAACAGCTTTCGATAAACTGCTGATTTGCAACAAGGCAAAAGATTCGTGTTTCCGCACGGTGAACAATGCTATAAAATTAATGAAGAAACAAAATATAACAGCACGCATAGTTACACACGCACGGGATACGTGACAGTTTTAGCAGACCGTGCTTCCGCGTCATATGTTTAACCTAATCCTGGAGATGCTTGAAAACACGGTTTCACTTGTCCGTATTTTACTGCTTTTCTCATCTTCACAGCTCAGCGACCGACTGGCCTTCCATTCGTTGTTCTTACGGCTTTGATTGAGAGCGCCTAGCTTCCTGTCCGTCTTGAGGTTTATCCGAACACTATTACACACGCTGTGCAATGGAATACGGGCAACCGCGATCACGTAATTTACCCCGAAGAAATCCAGGAGCCATCGGATTTCATCTATGACAATTTTTCCCGTCGAGTTTTACGGCTTGCATTTGCTACACAGGTAGAACAAGTAAAATTCTCACGGCGTGTGACTATGGTGGCGTGTGGGCCAAGACAAATCGTCGCGGAGTTTCTACGTGTGCCTCTAGTGGCGAAAGGTAGCAACCAATTGGAATTGTGTATATGAATCAATTTTCCCGTTGTGCATTTACACTTACATTATGAGTGTAAAGCAATAACTGAAGTTGTTGAAATACTTTAGTGTTTGATTAATTATACAATTGCGAAACGTAGAAGCTCTGTTTTTACATTATATGAAACAAACAAAAAAGTTTGCTGTGTGCGTTCTCTGCTTATTAATTCTCAGAGGTGCTGCTATCGTGTAGTGCGGCGGCCGAAAGATGAAGTAAGATCCGGAATCGCCTGGGTGTCAGTGAATAATTTGCTGAAACTGAATATGAAAAATCGTAATAATCCTCGCCTTTGGTGCAGTTTTTGTTTTTCTTGATGAAGCTGTGAAAAGTAAAGGAAACGGCCGTTCTGTCTGGTTGCTGCTTTTTAATCCCAGGCTTCAGGTGAGCATGTATACGAGGTGGATTGGGGTCCTTTATGTAGTAGGATTCTGGGTTAAAACTTTGAACATGGCTGCCACAATTGAAGCTGTTTATGTTTCCATTGTTTCCTAATGCCGTTGTACTTGCGCAGATATGGAGCTTCGAGTGGGAAACAAGTACAGACTAGGCCGTAAAATAGGCAGCGGGTCATTTGGAGACATATACTTAGGTATTTTTTCGTACGCCTTGAAAGACGTTCTGTCATATTATTGTTCGTACGAACAAAGTGAAAATGTCAATTTTAAAATTGCATGAATTTTTACAGGAACTAACATATCTACAGCTGAGGAGGTGGCTATCAAGTTAGAATGTATCAAAACTCGACACCCGCAGTTACATATAGAGTCCAAATTTTACAAAATGATGCAGGGTGGAGGTAAGGCATTTTGACGTACTTTATACTCGGACTTCAATACTTCAACTTTTTCGAGCATTGGGAAGAACACATTTGTACTTTGTTTTCTAGTTGGTATACCTACCATAAAGTGGTGTGGGTCAGAAGGGGACTACAATGTAATGGTGATGGAATTACTGGGTCCATCACTTGAAGACCTGTTTAACTTTTGCTCACGTCGATTCTCCTTGAAGACTGTTCTGTTGTTAGCGGATCAGCTGGTAAGGAGTTTGATTTTAAATGCCACAGATTGTTAATTTGAATGCCAATGTTAATATATTAATTTTGTGATTGGTGTGACATCTTATGTATTGTGTAGAAATTGTACATTCATTTTTTGTTTGTTTGGTGATAGATATCCCGAATAGATTATATACACAGTCGAAATTTTATCCACCGGGATATTAAGCCTGATAACTTTTTAATGGGACTTGGTAAGAAAGGAAATCTTGTATACATAATTGATTTTGGCCTGGCTAAGAAGTACCGTGATGGCCGTACCCATCAGCACATTCCTTATCGGGAGAACAAGAATTTGACTGGTACTGCTCGGTATGCTAGCATCAACACTCATTTGGGGATAGGTATGAGAACTTCAGATAATATTTAATATGATAATTTAATTATATTTTGAAGATTATGTATAGATATTATATTAAAGAATTTGATAACTTATTTTTTTGTTTTCCAGAACAAAGTCGACGGGATGATTTAGAATCATTAGGCTATGTGTTGATGTATTTCAATAGAGGATCATTGCCATGGCAGGGTCTGAAAGCAGCTACTAAACGGCAAAAATATGAACGCATTAGTGAGAAGAAAATGTCTACACCAATAGAAGAATTGTGTAAAGGTTATCCAGGTATGATCTGATATTTACTTTACGTTAAATACATAAAATGGACAGTGTTCATTTTTTATTGCATAATTATAGGCCACATGTTGAATTAACATTTTTCTAACCTTGCTTATTCTGAATTGTTGCAGGTGAATTTCCAACTTACCTGAATTATTGTCGTGCGTTACGTTTCGAAGAAAGACCTGACTACTCGTATTTACGCCAGCTCTTTCGTAATTTGTTTCATCGGCAGGGATTTACATATGATTATGTATTTGACTGGAACATGCTCAAGTTTGTGAGTACTTCATGCTGTTTTTTATATACAGATAGTTTTGCACATAAGTCAATAAAAGCTTAAAATTAATGATTAAACCCATCTCAATCGGGTATTTGTCCAGTTTCCCAATCCATTGAGCAAATGTTCTGATGGCCCCTTATTTTGGTCTGGACGTAAATGTACCTCACTATGCGCACATTTTGTTGAATTCTTTTTTTTGTGTGTGTGTGTAGTGGTAGGAGTAGAGCTGGGTGAGAGTTGCTATTTTGTTGGCAATACAGAGGAATCAAATCTGGAGTTCATTTGCCGTTGAAAAATGAGTTCTCTATAACTCATGAATGAAAAAGTTTAGTTGCTACAAATGTTACTATTCTCTCGTCTTTAAAAAAAATTATTATTTATTTATTTTAACTTTTATTCATTTAACAAATATTTATAGTTGAAATGTTGGGAAGGGGTTTTGAAACTCAAGAAAACGTCCGCAGTTGATATTGCTCAAACACCATGTACATTGTTTACTTTGTTTTTGACTAAATGAATAAATAACCTTTACTTCAGTAAACTTACCTAGTAATTTTGATAGCGTTATTTCTTTTTATTGTAAGTTGTTGTTGTTGTTGTTTTTTTGTTTTTTTATCCTAAAGAATATGTATCCCAAAACAAAGATACCATTTGATTCTGAAAATGCAAAATTTTGATGCATTTTTTTCCAAATATTTTACAGCTTAGTGGATTCTTTCCTTAAGCAGTCCTAAATAGGCTCTGGCCTTCAGTCTCTATGATTTCTCCACAAAACCACTGTAGGTCTGGGAAATGTCTTTTTGTCAAAATAGACCTGTGGGTAACTCTTCACTTCGTACAGAGTCTGAGGGGATAGTAATTTCAATTTCATTATAGGTTAAGGTTTATTGAAACAAATGTGGAAGAATAATATCAGAGAAACAAGCTTTGTTTGCATGTTTCAATTATACGAGCAAAATTTAGAATTCTTCCATTTTCCAATTGCTTCACAAGAGTGCGCGGATAGTCGACACATTTTGCGCTGACTACGCAAAAATGCCTCGCCACTGGACCAAGGCCTAAGCATGCACAAGCAACATTGGAGATGTCACAGAATGGCACAGACTTTCTTGTACTAGTTAGTTTTTTAATCTCTTTAGTCTAGATTTCTGTATCCCCTGAGCTAGCTTTCAGTATCCTCCCATCCCAGCTGCTGTGTATCGGCTCCAAAACTTAATGTTTTACCAATTTTTCTGTATTGTAATAGTGGAATTGAAATATCTCTTAAAGACTATTGCAGAACAGTAAAGCATAATCCTATAAGCAATTTTTCATTGCAGCTCTTCTTTAGAAAATTTTGCATGAGCGTGTCTGAAAATGCTCAGTTTTGAGCTTCATTTTCAGAGAAAAGGATGTTTTCGAGAAACTTCATCTGAAATAATTTGAAGCACACTTATTTTTTTACAAATGCAATAATGCAGAGGAAGGCCCTTAATGTAAATATTAACAAAATAAGAGATATAAAAAAACCTTTGTGTTTGAGAAATCAAAAGAATACACCAAAATGACATAGAAATCATTTAATGAAGTTTATTTAGTGTTACCCAAAGTTTACAAACCCTTACACAAAATTATAAGACAAATTTTGGAGCCTTTTTGAGAAAGTGTCTTTTTTGTTTCTGATAGCGTACAATTTTGAGCTTGTTTTCATTGAAAACTTTTGAAACTTCGAATAACTTCATAACAAACCATTCAATGCACTTGTACTGAGAAATACAGAAGTGTATAAAAAGCGGTTCTAATGTACATGTTAGTGATGTGAATTAATCCAAAGAAAATCACATTTGTATAATTTTTTTAAAATCTAAGTAATACATCAAAATGACATTTGTCTTGTTATTCAGTGCATGTAGCCCTATTCGCACAAAACGTTTAAAGCAAAACTTTGGAGCTGTTTACGGGAAAATCTTGTTTTTCAATGTCTTTAATATTGACCCTACTTCATTCAAAATTACATGAAATCTTTTGAAAAAATGTATGAGTTTTCATGTAAAGATGAAGTTTTTAAACACTTTATTCAGAAGAAAAATCTGTCTTCTATACTGTAGTAGCAAGCCACAACAACAACAACAACAACAACAACAAAAAAAAAACTTCAGTAATTTTCTAAAATTCAGATAAGCAAAAAAAAAACCTGTGCTGTTTTGTGAAACATATTTTACGCTGTCTCAGGACACACTAAAAAATTTGGAGCCATTATTTAGAAAAGTCATTCAAAATAAATTGCGCAAAGATGAACTCCTTGAAGGAGCAGCTGAAATGCCCCTAGGTCTCTAGGCTTTCGACCTAGAGACTATTAGGATAGTAGGAGTGTTTAACTATTTTGCGGAATTTAAGATATGTTATAAACAGGAATCGTACTGCTGTTGGAAAGCTTCTAAGGCTAGTAAGAGAGAAGGTATTTTATTTTCAAAGACTACTGTCTGGTGGAAATTTCTATTTACAAGATTCCATCTAACATTACCTCACTATAGGAGGTGTAGGTATTGACACTGTGCTATGCATTTTCAAATTGATGTCAAGGTATGGCCTTCAGCCTTCATTATTTACATTGCACAACCTTGAGTCCTGCATTTTCATTCCAAAATACTACTTGCAAAGCCTTAAGAATGCCTCATTTCAGTCACTTTTAGCCAGTGTTGTGCGTTTGACACCAACATTAGCTTGAAGTCTGAAATTATCTGTTTATTGTAATTTTTACAGCTTTAGCAAAACCGTCAGACTGATATGTAATTGAACCAGGCACTCATAACATTAGCTCTATAGCTGTATTTCAATTGTTAGCTATGACATGTTATTCATAGAAATATTCTGTTTGCTTTTTATTTTTTCCCTCGGGAGGTTCAAGGACTGTAAGATCAAAGGAATGGTAAATCTTATTTCAATATTGACTTAATTGAAGGATAAAGTGAACATTTTTTCATAACTGGAGGCAGGGTTTCCATGCACCGGCAAGTGCCAACTTATGCTTGCAGACATGCTCTATCAAATGCTAGAAAAAAAGGCGTACAAAACATGCACAGTCAAATTTAGTTTAGTGTATTTTTCTTTTATTGACTTTTGTCAAAGTGAACCAAATTTTTAAATGTTACTCTATCAAATTCATCCTCTTGTTAGAAACAAATGTTTTTGAATTCAGAAAATGCTTTGTACATTACAAGAGGTGATTACAGCATACTTTAAATATGAAATTTGAGCCAGTGTAAGGTAAAATTGTGCATTTTAGGATTTTTCTCTGCAAACAATGCTTTTTGCATTTTGGAGAAATTCCAAGTCAAGATTTGAGTTTAACAGTTAATATAATTTCTCTTTAGAAGTCACATTTGCATTTCTCTAAAACAGTCCAAAGATATTTTAATACCTTCGGTGATTTTTCGTGACTCCTATGGTATAAACCTATAGTTTAAATTTTTTACAGTAGGTAATTGTATAGAATTTAATTTAAAATTTACTTTTATTTATACAAAGTGTTTTTTACACTTTTGCATGTATGCGGACTGAGTCTGCTGTTGATTGTTTTCCCTCCTATTGTCAGTTAAGTGATATTGAGTTCTGACTTCTTATGTTAATTATCCTCTGACATTATTGGTTATCTTTGATTTATTTTGTGATTGGTGCTCGCAATATGTGTACTCGGTTTGCAAAGCTAGCAAGTTAAAATTTGTAGACTAACAATAAGCAAAGTAAACTAATACTGATATGCTCTAATAATAAAAATATACTGTTTATACAAAATATCCATCAATTTTATTATTAAGAAATTATCTAAAAAATAATTTAAATAATTACATATATAATGTCATGTTATGCATTACTTTATCCTAAGAACAACAAAAACTTACTTGGAAGGAGTATGCTTTTTTAAAATTAATTTGCCATGAAAGATGTTTTCAAAATTTGAAAGCTCTACAGGCTTAAGTAAATGTGTGTGTATCCATGGATATCCTGACCCTAGTCACAACATTCAGATCACTTTTCCTGCCCTTCAAACATTCAATGTCTTTAGTTATGAAACAGGTTTTGCAGTTGATCTCATTGCGTTTATTGAACGGTTAGAATGTTTCATTTATTTCACTACTATGGACTGTTTCTTTGCTTTTAAAATCTGTGCAAGTAATAAGCAATGCTTTTTTTATTTCCTCTAGGGTGGTTCACGGCATGGAGGACCTGAAGAACAAAGAGAGAGACGCTACACATCTCGCACAGCTCAAGGAGCTTCTGGAGCTACTGGTGTTGGTGGAACTAGCAGACGAACTCAGGCTGGATTTGATATGGTAAACACACCTCCTGGAACAACTCCTCCAGTTACTACAGCAAGCCCGACTACTGGTACGTTTTGGCACTAATGTCTGTATTATGCATCTGAATGATGAAAGAAGTCGAGATCTGGGACGTTGCTGATTTAGTTTTTGATTATTTTTTACTTTTGACTGTAAGGATGCTTAAAACTTTCAAGAATTACTTGATGCTCAAGTAAGCAGAAAGAGTGACACATTTTGTTCGACAATTGCTATTTATGACAATTTTCAGTTTTGGTATTCCCTGGTTTTCTTCAAAATGAGTTGGTCCACTTGAATTTCAGATGTGTAATATGTTGGTGTATTATGTATTATGAAGAAAAGTGCATAAAAGAGATTTATTTTCCATGTAGCTTCTCCTCGTGGACGCACTGGGGAAACCCAAGAGCGTCGAGTAAGCATGCGTTTACACCGAAGTGCTACTGGGGGTGCTCCTAATGTTTCAACTTCAGACTTAACCAGTGCCAGAGTGCCAGACAGCTCGAAGCAGACCAAGTGAGTACCAAAGCTGTGCCATAAAAGGTCATACTTCAAGAAAACTGTTGTTCGTTCGTAAAATGAAAGTTTGTTGGCACATGTTCTTGCGTTGTTTGGTTTCACGCTAATGTGGCTGTTGTGTGTGTTTTTTGGAAGTGCCACTATGGCTCAAATGGTTACTCGAGTCTCAATGGAGTTTGGCTCCTTAGGACTGGGGCCATAAGGGGGTAAGAATCTTCCTGTAGAGGGAGTATATCCAAGGACAACTTTACAGGGCAGCCCAACGTGTGAGAAGTGTCAGAATCTGGTGCATAGTGTTTTAACTGTGATTAGTATGCTACTATTGACTGTTCAGACTGACATTCTATTTAAATTAACTACTAAAAGAGATGAAAGTCTTTGTTGAATAATAAGCTTTGGTAGGCCTGGGTGTTAGTGCTTTTTAAATACCCTTATCTTTGCTTGGAAATGCAAAAATAAGTGAATGGAAGGCAGAGAAGTGGTAGAGGCCTGCAAAGCACAAAAGTTCACCATGTTTTTATAACTTGTTTTCGAAAAATTCGTTGAATCATTGAAGTCCCCTGTCCTATACAATGAAAGTGAAGAATGTTATTACAATGATGAATATGCAAGATGGTTTATGAGAGAGAAATTCCTGTGAAAAATTATTAATGCTGAAAGAAATGATTACCCACATTGCATTTTATATACATGATGAAGCCTTTTTAAGATGAAGAAATCAATTGAAGAAAAGAAGTTCACTGAAATGTAATTGTTGTGTACATAAATATATACATAAATAATTATATGAAAGTACCAACAGAACAATGTGAAAATCAGTGACAATTCAGAGACGTTGTGCACTTTTGTGTTCCACATCAGCTGTTGATATTTGTACCAATGTATCTTTTAACAGCAGCCTATATTTAATGAAAACATATTCAATGACTGAGAGCAATTGTATAAATGTTGCTTGATGATTTTGGTTGACTGCTTGACTTACCATAAAAAGGCTGATCTCTCATGTTCAGAGTGGTGTGTTTGATAGTGTGTCTGCATTTGTGGAAGATTGTATGACTGACGCTTTTTCTATTTGAACTGTGTAGTTGTTTTGCCAGAAATTTTGTGAAGTATTATTTTAATAATTTTTTTTTCTTTTGGTAAGATGTGCTCTCTTTGTGTATAAAAATACAGAGTATATCATGCTCTTTATTTCTTGGTAGTGTCTTTTAGTACAATACTACATTTGTGAATTTTTAGTACATATAAACAATATATTCAGCTGTTTGTTTTGCTTGTTATTGAATGTTTGATAAATTCTGTTGTATATGTGAGAAGTTGATGACAAAGTTGTTACTCTGACATATTTGTTAATTGAATTTGCTGAGGAAGTATATCTGAGAGCATTGAAGCAAGACACAAAACTTTGTGTGCAAAACTGTGAATAAACAATTTTTTACAATGGAAGATATTGATATAATATTTTTAATTTGTTTTTTGTTGTTTTTTCATGTGTTAATATGACATTGCTTATGATTATTCAAATAAATGCCTTAAATTTTATGAACAACTGAATGTTTTCCCATTAATATTTGGTTGTGCTGAACTTCTGTATTTTGGGAAAAAAACGAGTGTAATAAAACTGGAGTAACGTTGTGAAAGAGTAACTGACCATTTTAATATAATTCATTAGCTTTTATTGATGTCGAGCTGACCAGAAAATTATTTCAAGTTTTAGATGTAGTATATGTACTCAAGAAACTTTAAATGATAATGTTTCCACAAATTTATCTTGGATCTACAAATCTAAAGTGTCCCAACTTAATGTGCTGTAAAATATAGAAGCCAAAAGGAATGGATATAGGGTGGACTATGCCAGAGGAAAAAGGATTATTAAATCAATCAAATTGTAAATTTATTGCAGCAAGAAAAAAATCAGAAGCTTCTAGAATTCAAATTACAGTTTTAATTAAATTGAGAAATAATTGTTCATTGCCGCAATGTTTTTTTTAATCTGTCACTGGAATGTCTATAAAATTTTTAAACTTTCGTGTCAGATTGCATATCTATCAAGATTTTGAGAAATGAAAGAGAAAAAAATAAAAAGCTGTTTGCTTCAATTATATTTTGCAATTGAAAAGTGTGCAGTGAAGTAATATTGGATGTTGTGACAAAAATGTGTAATTAAAAACTTAATTTGTCATGATGGAATGACATTGTCATTTTTATGTGGATAAGCAAATTCTTTGAAAGAATCAGGAAGCTAGCTTTATCTTGGCATTGGCTATTGAATGGGAAATCTATTAAGGAAAAAAATCACATTTGTTTATTTTTGCCACCAAAAAAAATGTTGGGACTACTTAGTGCCAATGTTCTTTGATGACTGACTGCTTTTAAATTGTTAACTCACAGCAATACTCTTTAACCTACTACTTGTGGAGTTCTGGGACTAAGCTTGCTTTTTACATTTGAAACTCTTTGATCTTAACTGTTTTAATTTCCTTAAAATGTGTAACTCGTGTGAAATATAAATTTTTGTCTGCAATTCTTCCTAACACTACACTTCTTTAAAATGACTTTGTGATTGTTTAATTTTATCCTTTGTGTTGCTTTTTAAAGCTGGATATTTTTAAATAACAAAAAGTCCGACTTCACCTTTAATTCTAGTCTTCTGTTTTACAGCAGGTTTACAACACTGATTGCAGATTGATTATGTGCTGATTGATTACAATTTTTTACAACACTGATTGCTCTTTTGTGTTTGTGATTGATGAGCAATTTGATGGGATTTTTGAACACACTTCGACAGTAGCGAGGAGTGGCATTTTTGCGTAGTCATCGCGAGACTTGCCTGGGGTTCAAGTTTATTGTTCTGAAGTGACTGGGGGGAGGGGGGGCAACATCTTCGTTTTATTTTTTAAATGCGCAGAACAACTCTAATTTTAATGATAAATATATATAATATATATATATATTAAAATAAATCTCGCTAGACATACTCTTAGGTAATACTGAATGCTTTAGAAGTTATGGTACTGTCCGGGACTGAGTTCTCCGACTGCGGGACGGAAGGGACGCTAGGCCTCTTCCAAAACGGAGCGGTGGTTGGGGAGGACATCCGGCCGTCGACGAACTACTAGCAGCGAGGCGAAAAATTTTTAATTTCACGATCGCGGACGTTTTTCTTGCAATGATTATTTTAGTATCTAACTTAACTTTATCAGAATCTGATGATCTGGAGGCTTCACTCTCTGATGCATCACTGTCGGAGCCCCAAAATTAATTATTTCGTCAATGACGTCGATACCACATACTATCTTTTTTCTCGCAATAAATCAAACTTTTCTATTTTTTCCACGTGCTTGGCAAAATCTTGCCCCAGTTCCCTGCAATGGTGACCTCTTGTATTGCGAGTTTTCAAATGTTTCTTGGCAACTTGGTAACTGACATAACTCACCTGTTTACAATTTGCTCCCTAAATATCTGCTTTGACTTTCGCTCAGAAGTTTCATTTCACACATGTAATTGGGTTCATCATCACACATTGTAGGGAGGGAGTCCGTAACAACTGTTGTTCCGTGTGCTGCTAGAACCTCATCGATCTTGTAACTGCTTAGCCCGTGGGTTTGAAAGGTGCAATTAATCGTACCAATCAGTCTACGCATAGTTTTCTTCACAATGACATCCCCTTCTATTGTCTGCACCGGTATTCAAGCTATACATATCATCAGAATCAAGATATTCATTGACTGTAGAGCACGTTTATGGGAGCCGTTATATGCACTTCATATGTCGGTATGGAGGCATTGCAAGGATTCCATTTCTCAAACATTAATGTCTATTCATTTGGCACGTGGTATGTCCCATCTCACAGTACTACTAGCTTCGAAAGATTAGATCACGTGCCGGCGAAAAGTAATTCCATTTTTCTCCCTAGCATGAACAATTATTAGTCTACTTGGTTGCATTCCATCACTTTTGACACCAACAAACGTTATCAGCACTGCCAGCAACTTTTGAAATTAGGGTGGTTATCAACCCAAGTGTCTCAATGCACATGATGATATCTCGCGTTCTCTTCTAGAAATTGTTTCACTGAACAATGAATCCTGGATCTCCAAGTCACACTATGTCCGGTCATCTCTATCACCACCGCGCCGCTTTGTTTTGGCACCTTTTCCATTTAAAACCCATTGATGTTCATAACGACGCAATAAAGAATTTGGCCAAGGAAATTTTAAATTTTGCCCCTTCAATAATTGGAAGGAAGCTCACCGGTCGGCACACTTTTTCTCTCATGGTGGAAATCCAGAATCGTATTTCTAATGACACCACGTGTCAAAACTATCTACATGGACAGAAATTGCCACATGCCCAGGAGAAATTAAGCTTCCAGATTTGGGTTATTCTTCATTCCTTTTATTTTTCTTTCGAATGCTTTGATGGTGGTGAGTCTAATTCCTGTGTAATTCGGAGGCTCTTTCACTCGCTTCAATTAACAGGTAAATTTAAAAATGTATCTTCTTTCTCCTTTATCAATATTTCAATCACACGGGACAATGATTTTGCGACCCTCGCTGTGGTTAGTAGTATTGAGTAACACTCTTTACCTATGATGGAAACTAATGGTTGCAACATGTTAACACTCGGGGTCCTGCACAAGCAGAACTAGCCGCTCGATGTTCTTGAACGGTTGCATTTCATGTCCACGTGATCATTGTGGGTGCAGGAAAGCCATCCCCTCCTACCCTGCCGCTCACCCCGCGCGGAAACTAGGACCCCTCTCCGGCGGCCGGAAAACTGGGACCCGGACTATATGACAGCAAAATTGGAACTCATTCTATCCAATAAATGTGAAATGAAATAATTATATTAAAATTCATTTTGTATTTGGTTAGCATTCATAATTATTATTTCTTGACCTACAAGAAAATGCACCTTTCCCCCACACAATTTAAAATGGTCATATCAGTCAACTGAGCAATCACTGCCATTTTAGCATTGCACAATCAAAATAATATTCGAAATAATCACAAGTCAAACTCTCCAGCCAGGAGTCAAAAAAACAGTAAAAAGCAGGCAGAGTGTCACACAATTGGAAGTTGCGTACCCAACCCCCTGATGTGCCGCTGATTACATTCTCATATCTTGCCACTACCCATTAACTAATCAGTGCTGGAAACCTCCTTCGAAGCATCAGAGCACTTTTTGACGGCTCTGCCATACTTGAATAAACAAGATATATAATAACTTTCAAATGCAGATGAAAGAGAATCAGGGAATGCTAAACAATGCTACTTATCTGTTCAACGATCATGTGAACGGCCTGGATATGCACATCAATTTAGATTCTAAATGATATAAATTCATAGAAATGTATATAATTTATTTTCTAAAATGATGCATGACTTTTAGAAGCTGTCATTGTAACACATCGACATTCATGAATTTATAGGAGAAATATGTGTAAATACATCCTACATTACTAATTACTGTTGTAGAAATCATTTTTCTCTCCTGTGGATTCCAAGAGAACTTTTTCAATTAATACAAGGGACAAGCTGCACTTTCACTCTTCTCCTTGGGTTTATCTTTTATTACTCAGTATTATTTTTGAAATGGAAAATTGCCTTTCTTCAGATAGTATTGGAGCTGGTTGTGCGTATTAATGTAGCTAAATGTATAAAAATAATTTCCTTAAATACTCAGTTAAAATTTTCTTATTTGAACAGTTTCACCAATTTTCATGTAAGTTTGTCTTAAAATGTTGCAATTCTATTAAAATCAATGAGTTCATTTTTTTAATCCCGGTGATTCAAGAATATTTGGCCAAAAAGCTCTCAGAAAAATTCTTCATTTCATGATCAAAAGCAATTCAATTCATAGCTATTTAATTTTTTTAAAATTATTATTACCATAAAAATGTCTGTAATTTCTCCCCAATATTTAATTCTTTTCTAAAATATTGAGAATGAATAATTTTTATAATTTTGTTTGGTCAACGATGCAACGAATCAATGACCAAACATCTCACCACTGCACTTCAGAAAGGTTTTTGAATTTTGATATCAGCCTCTGCATTTGTTCTTGCATGTATTTAAAATGTGAATTATCTTCATTTGTAACATTTAATTAAATGTAAAGAATGTATCTAGTGTTCTAGTGTGTGACATAACATTGGATTTTGTTTAACGGAGCCATAAAGAAAATTTTGATTATAAAAACACCTAGAAAGATCTTTATTACTTAGTATTATTAATTAAATCCACATCAAAAGTTGTTAAGGATGTTTTGGTGCATATAGTATTAAATAATAGTAGCAGCTTGATTTATCTTTCTTCATGAAAACAAAATTAAAGTACAAATGACCGTTTGTTAATGTTTTTTACAAACGTTTTCTTTCAAACAACCATTTTTGACTCGAAGATCATTCATTGGACATGGGAAGAGAAATGCAGTATTATTTCCAATTTTAAAATGGTATATTTTCTATTCTGGAACATTTTGATTAAGAAATCACAATTTGTAGTCATTTTGTTGTGTTGAAGTTTCTAGGAGATAGGTATTTTAAATTTCATGCATTACTTGTATTGTAGTCAATTTTTTAATCTAGATTTACTATTTTTTAAAACATTGTTCTAACTTTGATCTGTTGTATTTAATGTTTCTCAAGTAACTTTTCCTTTTTTTGTCCATGAGTAATCTTCTGCCAGACTTATACAAAGTTCTTGTAAGTTTTTAAAATCACTGAATCAGAGAATGAATTGTACAAAAAGATGAGATATCAGCCTTTAGAGTCGTCAGATACTGTGCATAGATGAATAGACTGATTTGCATATAATACACATTACTTAGGAAGAGCAAAAACATCAAAATTGGAAAAGACGAGGAAGTATGTGACCAGTCCTTCAGGCACTGCCTTTTTGTTGAATCAGTAATTCTGTGTATTAAAGTGTAATGATATGTTGTATTATTTAAGTTATATCAATAGTTGTAATTTGTTACATGTAAATACAGCTTCGTGCTAGTATACAGGGTTTTAAATACCTGAATGAATGTAGGTAATTTACAGAATCTGGTAGACCAGTCCCACTTGTATATTGTGTAGCTGAATTAAGTTGCTATTATTGCAGAACTGCTTTTGTGAATGATTATTTTCACACCTGACATGATTGGATGGGGTTTATGAAAAAGTTATTTCCCCAATTTTTATACACATGTGCATACATATTATATACATTAATATAATTATTAAAATAAAAAATCAGTGCATGCTTGGTTGTGAGATATAAATGATCAATTAGAATTCTTAATATAGGTTAGCCAGAGTGAGTGTGGTGTGTATTCTGTAAATTAGTTTGCCTCTTGACCTTGCAAAGGTTCTGAAACAGATCTCACTGCTTGCTTCAGTGTTTCTTTTTAGAATAATGTGGTGTACATGTATTTTTTGTTATAGCAGTTTTACTCCAGTTCTTACTATCAGTGTCAATGAAATTTCAATGAGTGATTGTTGTAATTAAGAATAAAAATTAAGTACGAATGACTTCTTTTTTTAATAAAAAAGACAATGTGTTGCATCAGATTTAAAGTCTTAACAATGGAGGTGAAGTAAAATAATAAAAATGAAGTTGAGTGATTGCAGATGAATTTTCAACAAAACTTTGTTTCCCTTCTTCCATATTTTGAGGATGATAATCATTTTTTTACATCATGGAATTATAGTAGAATGCGATATGAATTATCATTCTTATTCATGTACATAGAAAATAATGCATTTGACAAAACATTAAAATTGGTGAAATATGTGGAACAGTTTCTTTCAATCAATTCCTAGCTTCCTGACTTCCAACACCTACTGCCTTGTGATAATTACAGAATTGTATGAGTGTAAATGATAGAATTCATGAGCAACTCTTTTCATTATAATTTCTCAAAGTTCTGATATCATTAGCTCTCAGGCAAGGTTTAATACATTGGAGGGTTGTACTCAAAGAATTTTAGATACGTAAACAGTTGTTTTCGTTACATTTATTTTTTCCTGGATGTTTATGTATCCAAAAACTTGATTATCCATGTCTTTAAACATTTCAACAAGCATCTGTGAAGTACTTGTTTTTTATTTTTTGTAATGACGTTTTCTGAAATAGCTTCTGAAAATATTCTAGTCTTATGATTTGGCATTCAGTGTGTGCTTTTGAATGTTATCTAAGGTCTAATTTACGATCTTTTAAGCTGAAAAGAAAATTCACTTCATTTCTTTTAAAAATTGTTATTAAGAACTTTACTCTTAAAAAGCTTGTGTAAAAAGTATTTTTCATGACATTCCTGTAATTTTAGAATACCGTGCTCTTGGCAGTTTATTTGAAGTTTATTAAAGTAAAGAATTTAAATTAAGAAGTGTAAGTAAATAAGATAACAAACATGTAAAAACTTCGAAATTAATATTGTTGTTGGTTTTATGTAAAACTACAGACTTTCTTTAGTGTAAAAGGTACTCCTGGATAAGATGGTAAAAACTATATAATAAAAAAAAAATTAAAAAAACATCTGTCTTAGTACACTGTAACAGGCACAAAAAAATCTCAAAAGTCTTCAATGCACCAGTTTGAGTTTTAAGATTGTGACGAAAGGAAAAATTAAATACTATTTATTTTTTGTATCTATAGTGTTTTAAAAAAAGTTATGATTTTAAATATAGTTTGAAATTGACAATTCTGTAAATTTATCTTTGTCTACTATAAATTTGTATACATTGTTGCAGCAACCAATAATTTTTTGACCTTGGAATTTACTTACAAATTTTCAAATTTTTAATGCTTTATAATCCTTTGTAAAGTATTTAATATGCTAAGGAAAGATTTTGTTCTTTATAACAAACCATCGACACAAATTGTAAGCAGAATTTAAAATTCTTTAGAAAATATTTCTTTGTTGTAAGGGGCTTATGAATTGTGCAATAATTTTTTTAAACGTCTGTTTTTAACTTACAATTACAATATTAATTTTTCCCTCTTGCAGCTCTGCCGCAAGGGAATCTGTGTTATCAGTGACGCAGAAACGAAGAAAGCATGTACACGAAACCAGTGAACTAAACATACATTCCATCTGTTGAGAAATTGTACTATCTGGTTTACTTATTTGACATTCGTTTACAAGTTTCACTTAATAGCTATTGCTTCTATGTTTCTCTAAAATCTTAGGAAAACGTTCAAAAGATTTGAAATTCTTCACACTTAAGTTTGCTGAAATTCCTTGGGTAGGAATGGTATCATGAATTTCACTGATATAAAACTTATGTCCTGTACAGTTGAAGGGGAATTAGTAACATGGTGTTATTTATGTTTTATCTTCTTTGTGTTTTGGTTCATCTGAAAATGTTTTGATCTAGACTAAAACTATTTGTTATTGTTTGTATTCTCTCCAAATATTCCACTTAATTCTTTGAAATGCAGTTGCTTATTAATGTGATTTCAGAACTAATATTTTAGAGAATTAATATGTTATCCAAGAGGTAAGAACCCTGGAAGGTGCATTTTCCCTAAGGGTGCTAATAAATATACTAATTTTCCATTGCATGCTAAATCATAAAAAGTGAAATTTATTTCCCTCCACATAATCACATATGTATGTTAGAGTAGGTTGTAACAATGCAATATATTGTCCTGAGAATCTTGTTCACTGTAAATAATTCTTTAAAGTAGATGGAATCTATGACTAAAATTTTAGTTTTATGAAATTTTTCACATGTGAAACACTGAAAATGTGCAGAAATAAAAGAAGTATTGAGTTAAAAAATGTATGGCATTGAGTTGATGAATCCTCCATAAAAGATAGCAGTATTAATACCTCTGTAAATGCAATGGAAAAAAGGTAACCAAATCTTTTCTGTGATAGTATCAACCAGTTTTCTGTTCTTTTGTTGGTGTTTCACTTCTTTAAAAAATAATAAAATATTCAATGAATATAAATAATTTTGTTTCAATTTAAGAGAATAATCAGTCCAAACTTTTTAGTTTGTTGTGGATTTTACTATCAATTCTCAATTATGTTGTTTAAAGGGGGTCATGGAACTGTGTGTGGGTAAACAACCTATTCCAGTGTGGTATTGACAAGAACATACACATGTCTCTTGTATGTATGTACACGTGTCTCTTGTATGAATATGTGTAAACATATTTCAATGAAAAATGTTGATGAATTCATTGCTCTTGTTATATTCATTTTGAAAGTTACAGTATTCGGTTATGTAGGGTATTGTAAGGTACCCTACATATCAGAAGGAAGTTTCCATTTTTTCTAAACTGCTACAAGTCTTTAATAGGGGGGATGTAAAATTAAGAATTTTTTAAAATGTTTTTGAGCCCACTGTATTCATTTGCAATTTTTGTAACTTCAAGAAAAGAAGAGGATCCATGGGGTAACAAACTTGCTTTGGTTGAATTGTACTTAATTAATAGTTTAATATAAGGGCATTAGTCCCACTTGTTCATACTAACCTTCATTTGGAAATAGCATAATGGCCAAGGTGGGAGGGAGTATTTGGGAATTGAGTTGGACATAAGCATCCATTTTAAGGAACCGACAATGGCTCTGTCTGAGCCAGTGGCTACTCTGCACTTTTGCTATGAAGAGTAACCATAGAGACATGCATAAGGAAAAGGCTGATAAAGAAAATTATTGAATATTTTTATTTCTCATAAATCATATTAATATCCAATACATGAATGATTATATAATTATGAATGTAAACCCAGAATAAAATGTAAATTAAAATGAGATTCTTTCTTTGTGGTTGCAAGATTCAGGTTCAAATTGCCATCATCCTAGCATGCAAGGAAACCACCATCCACTGGCAATGTTACACCATTAATCATGGCTGCTTTATCACTTAGAAGGAACATTACGGCATTAACAACATCTTCCACCTCTGAAACAAAATTTAAAAGAACAAATAATGATACTTAATCATAGGTTATGTTTGAAATTGTAGAACTACAATATTTTAGGTTTTTCCACAAACTTTGCTTGCCCTCGGCTTCCTTCCCATATTTTGTGTGTATACATTGTTACGATTATCTAGTTAATTCATCTACATACTCTGATTTCTTACTGGTTCGAATTTATTACTTACCAGAAAATCTTCCAAGAGGAATTTTTGACAACATTGGCCCTGCTTTCTCAGGTTTTGACCAACCAATTTTACCCATTTCTGTCATGACTACTGTAGGGTTTACACAATTGACTCGAATATTATGTGGTCCCAGTTCAAGTGCCATTACTTTTGATATCTGATCCACTGCTGCTTTCGTTCCACAGTAAACAGTATGATCAGCCAACGCTGCCTGAAAAGAAAAATAACTTTACAAATCATTTCAGCTTCCCAGAATAATACCCGAGAGTAATGCACCTCCCACAACAGGATTGTCTGATCTCCAAACTAGCAAAGTGACTTGAGAAAGAACAAATTATTGTGTTTTTCTTACAAATCATTCCCAATATTAATTCTGTTCTTTTCAGCAGTTAAGAAATCACTATTCCCTGAAGCGCTTTATTTATTATAATTGATCTACATGACCTTTGATGTTTTCAGTATCTAAAACATTATTTCTTTGTGACAGATTGTTGAATGAGAATCTACTAAATTCACTCATCACGTTTTTCATGTGTTGAAATTATTTCTAAGCAGGATTCTAAAGAACACTGGGCTCCTTCAACACAATTTCCTAGTGATATTGAGAGTAGAATTCAAAAATCAATAAGATCATTTTTCAGATAACTAGTGCTAAAACAGCATGTACTTGTAATAGTTACGTAATGATATTTATACCACAATTTCTCTCCGAATTAACAAATCTGTCATCATCTTTTGTAGACCTCATTACAAATTTTTGGTGAAAAAAGTAAATATTTTCAAGAAAATATCAACAAAAATTTGACAAATATAACTGCTTTTCATACAATTTCATGTCTCAACAATGAGACGTAATTCACAGAAACTGTTTCAGATTCTCGGCGCAAAATGTCGTTGTTGCATTCTAATCTGATATTCCTTGAAGGCTAGCAATTTTGATTTCATATATTTCAAATAGGTTTTAAATAATTTCTAAAAGATTAATGCGTAAATGTATAGCGGCCGCTGGGTAGCGACAGCGCATAAGAGAGGTGCGTACGCGGAGATGCCAACTGGCGGTCCTCTGAACACTTGACTGAGACGAGATGTGACGGACTATGTAATAAACGGAGGATTTCTCCCACGCAGCAATTAATGGAGGATAACTCCAAAAGCGCGAAGCTCTCAACGCCCCCAAGGGTTTTAATTGGAAACGCTGCATCTAAAGTTGACGCAACAATTTAATAAAAAATATACAAATTCTAACTTACGAAGCATCCAACTGCCCGGATTTACATTCACGAAGTGCAGTAAATTCGGAGCGGGCGATTATGTTAGTCGCCAAATTGTACAAAAAATACTTATACAGTGGGATGTCGATTTTCCAAATTAATTGGGACCAGCTATATAGTTCGGGGAATAAGTTTTATCATAGAAGATTGTAATTGTATATGTGACTCAATAAATTATTACCTCTCTAGGATTAGCTCACCTGAAAGTGAATCTAATTGTGAACCACCCCACTACTGTGGGAGGCCTTGCCCAACACAGGGATCAATGACTTTATTATTATTATTATTATTATTATTATTATAGTTTGGATATTTGATAATTCGGATAACCGAACATAAAATGGCAAGTGTACATATAACGTCGTTTGCAGAAGAGTTTTTTCTGCTAATAATAATTATAATAATAATCATTCCCAGTTCTTAAGGATTTATTGTAAGATTTGTCATAGTTCAATGAAATCCGCTGATTGACTACAATACTGTACTCGGTAAACTTTAATCACAGTCAATCATATCTAGGATCAATCACAATATTCAGTACTACAAAAGAAAGTGAATACGTGTAGTATACGGTACCAAATTAAAGTACTGGTGCTGCCAAAATGTTTCGAAACGCTCCGCAATCATATATTGATTTGAATATTTTATTGAACAATTGATTTGATGTGATCAGTTTTACAAATAGGACAAAAGACTTGTAAACTTGTTTAAAATTTCAAAATACGAAAATGACATACTACAGACACTTCCAGTTTATTTAGAATCTTAATAGATTATATATGTGAGTAGAATTGCTTCAATAAAAAAAAAATAGAGTTTCTAAAATTCTCAATCGTTTTCTGCGGCAACACAGATTTGTGACAAATAATTATCCCCGAGCCAGGCGCGAACCAGCGACCCTTCCCTCCAAAACGCCGAGTGAGAAACCAACATTTAATCACTTCGACCCCCTAGGTTACACAGCAATTGGCACTCCAATAATAGTCAAGCGCTAAAAGACAATTGATTTGATGGTTCATACGTTTTACAAATCCCATAAGAGATATGAAAAATTGTTTAAAAGTTGAAAATACGAAAATCACGGACAGACACTTCCAGTTTATTTATCTTGAATAATAGTATTAATAGACAAGTATTATTTAATAGTATTTATCTTCATTATAGACAAATAATAGTTCCCCACTAAACACTTGAACCATCTAATCTGCCCTCCGAAGAGCTCGCGCCTCCCCCCCCCCCCAATTAGCTCCCACGGTTATCCAGTTACGAGTGCATTTAATACATCTATAATAGTAATAACATTATGGTGGCTTCAGTTCTAGCATTACGGAGACGAGTAATTAAGAAAATGTGAAAAATGTTTGTTTAGACAATGATACCTATCGGAAAAGCTGTTCAAGAGTAGAAAGAATAGGAAACTAACTAGGATGCGAAAGTCTGTGCCATTTTACAGCACTAGATTTATTTATTTAAATAGATAATTTTGTACAACAATTTTTGACACAAAAATCTCTATCTTCAAATCTGTAACAAGTCTGTTTGCAATTTTCAAAAAAACGTGCAATACCCGAAAATGGGACTAGCACCATATTTCTTGCCGTCTCTTATTGTGATGGATCATAAACTTGGGATTTAAAATTTCTAATAATTAACTCCTTTCCTGTTTCACCCCACACTTGATCGAGTCAAAATCTGTAAACTAATAACAATTTATTACGTTACGCCAAGTTTCCTCCTATAGTACAAATTTATAAATTTTGTGTGAATTGGCGAAGTCGCCCCTGTACAGGAAACCAAATTATCACATTGATTTCGGAACCTGGTTCTCTTATGTTCTTTCTCATATCATTGCGTTTATATTACCTGATAATATATACACCAACATTTTAACAATCCCATCAATACTAGCAGCAACTATTTATTGACAAACGATTTATTTTTAAAATTAAGATTTCAAAATGCAAATGGCGAATTCTATTTTCCGCCGTATATTCACCAGCTATTTGTAGTTTCAAAACATAACATGACACATAAAATTTACCCTTTAAGTACAACACATCTTGAAGAAAACAAATTCAATAACACTCACTCATTAATATATGCTTAAACTGCATTGGTTCACGCGAATGTACCCTCTTTGAAAAAAAACTCTAATGGCCATTTCTAATAATTACTTAGTTGGTTACAATCTTGGCCTTGTTATAAGATTGTTGCAAAATTGCGTCACCTCCATGGTTGCGTATCCTCCCCGCAAAATGGCGCCGTCTCCGTTGCTGCGATTCTTTGGGCCTCTTCGACCCGGGTGCCATTCTTTTCCTTTCGAACTAAATCCTAACACTCGAGGACCATATTACTTACTATGGAACACCACTTTACTTCATCCTACCACCTTCCAGCCAACTTTTGCATGAAAACTCCAGATTTTACTTCTGCCACGATGTCAGCACTACTAGATCGTAAACCTGTCTGTCTATATGCATTGTTGTACACCTTTCTCCTCACCGCGCAGTTTTAAAACAAAGGACAGCTATTCTCTTCTGTCAAACTCGCTGTACATTTTTATATACCAATTTTGGATGTCTTGTGGTTTCAACAATTTCTTCATTGTAATACTTTCCAATTACACTTTAAATAATAAATTTACTTACCCTTCCCCTTTTACAAAACCTAAAACTTTATTGTCTTATCGTTTGTGTAATCGCCCATTTCTTATATCCTTCACTTGTCTTTTCCGAACATACGAACATCATTCATTTAATAAAAGACTTTCATTATTATATAATAACCCTGAGTTCGAGTGACTGTGTATCCTTCCTAAACGGTTTTTTATTTATTTATTCTTCCCAGGTCTGCTACAAGAATAGTTCCTTAGATTTTTTTAGAAATAAACACTTCGTATTTCCACCCTTGCATCTTCCAATGTTTCCTTTGATTACGTCGGTTTTTAGTTATCCTATTGCATCTTTTTAGTAATTATTGAGACGCGTCCGAGTGGGCCGGAGAAATTTAAAGAAAAAAATTGAAGCGGTTTTTGAGAAAACAATTTGATGTAAATTTCAAGCCCACATTCCGCAAAAATTACTCGTTTTTTTCTCAAAAAATTGTAAAAAAATATTGACTTTTTCTTAAGAGTTGATTTTGTACATTAGTCGTTGTCTGAGCCAAAATCTCTATCTTCAATTTTGACCACTTAAAAATTATTTTTCCAATTGCATGTACATTTTTTTTGAAAATTGTTGTTGTTTTCGCGCATTATGTTGCACGCAATATATGCAATTTTAAAAATTTCAAAAACAATATTTTCTCAAAAATAGCTCCAATTTTTTTGTGTGAACTTTTGGTCGGGATAGTGCTAAATGTACTCTATAAGATGGCATAAACCCCATATTGCTCTATTCTTTTGTTTTTTCAAAAATTACAAAAATGTATTTTTTTACTTGTTTCTCATGTCTTTAATATTTATACTAGCGGCAATTTCTTCTCATTATTGTATTTATAAGTACATGTGCTTTAAATAATGTTATAAAGTTAAAATGTTAAAGTTAAATTAAATAATGTCATAAATAAAGCTTCTCGAAAACTCAACCGTTTTCTGTGAAAAGTAGCTCAAAATACCGCATTTTCAGAAACGCTCAAACGCCATTTTCTCAAAAATGGCTCCAATTTTTTTAAAAAAACATTTCGAACGGATAGTGCTATTTGCACGCTAATATGACGTAATGTTCATTTCGGTATATTTTTTTGTTTTTTCAAAAGTTACGCAAATTTACATTTTTGAAAGATCTCACACGTTGTTGATATGCGCATTTTTAGCCATTTGTAATCACTATTGTATTTGTGAGAAGTACTTAAAATAATTTGAAATGAAGTTTTTCGAAAACTCAAAAATTTTCTATAGAAAAGAGACTTAAATTTCGAATTTACAGTGGCGATTAAACGCCATTTTCTTAAAAGCTGATCCAAATTTTTCAAAGAAAATTATCATTTAAGACGAGATTTTACTGGTTTTTAATATTCATAAAATAACATTTCCGTTTTATTAAAAAAGCAAAAAATTCAGAAAATTTCACAAAATGTACTTTGGGTGGCGATAGATGGCAGCAGGCAAGAGTATGTGGTAAATCTGAGTAGTTAGCCGAAGCCAAAGGAAATAGAAAACTAATACGGGAAAGTCTGTACCATTCCGTAGAACCACTAGTTTGACTTTGGGTAAGATTATGCTGGATTTCCATTCTAATGGTGTACTTATTTATTTATGTCAAAAACAGTTAAACAGTTGCATGTGACGTGCTGTGTGGAGAAGTTAATTTGAAATTTCTTTCTTCTTTGATTATAATATTCAATAATACAGTCATTTGATCTACTAAATTCTTTCCACCATATTTTAATAACACATTCTTATCCCATCACTTCTAGGTGCTTTTCTGTTCTTCAAGGTTTTTATCATCTCTTGCACTTCTTCTGATATAAATTCTACATTATGTAAATTGAAGTAGTGTTTATAACATATCTCTCGGTTATATTCTGTATCCTTATATAAGTCTGCAAAATATTTGTCTATGTCTATATTATTATCAATCTTTATGATTTCAGTGATTTCAGCTTTTCTGTTTCTCAATAATCACCACACTTTTCTTTGTGATCCATAAAGATCTCTTTTAAAATCATTCGTTAAACTCTCCCAGTATGTTTCTTTCAGCTCTCTTATTTTCATGAGCTACATTTCTCTCTTGTTTATAATGTATGTTCTCTCCTTACTTTGGGAAGATTTGTATTGTAAATATGATTCTTTTTTTTTTTCACTATTTCCTTTACTTCTGTGAACCACAGTGTTTTATGTTTACGTCATGGGACATTTTTGACTTTTCTTTTACATAAAGATTTTTAAGCAGCTATTATAATATTACCTTTTAATTTCTTCCATGCATCCTCTTTTATTGGTGCAGTATCGATTACATTATTATCTGGTGATGTACAGTTGTTTCGAACTTTCATTTTCCAGAGATTCTAGGTTAATCTTTTCCTTTCATTCAATATTTGTCTCCTTTTTAATTGGGAGGTTCATCTATTTTATGGCGAAGGAAGGTCACTTCCTATATTAGCAAAGGTAAATGTTCTTACATCTAAAATTTCAGACGGTGTAAAGTGTCGATTAGTTATCACGTAATCTATCATAGATTGCCGTCCTTGAGCACTTAGAAATGTGTTTATAATTAAAGCCAAGGTCAAAAATTCAATTACATGTGTTAACTTGTTTTCATTTATTCCTGAGTGATGGTGACATCTCCCAATATAATTAGCTTTCAGCCACACGAGCCTCCCAGCTCCCTCAGCGAGTGACCTTTCGTTCTGGTAATAAAATAGAGTTAGAGAAGGAATAGCCGGAAGATACCGGGCCACGCCCTACAAACCACAGTCTGCTGCTGCATATCACCTCCGCCGCAATCAATGCAATTCATCTGATGAATATGAGTGAGGCTGATTTGCCGTTGACGGCACAACCAAACCCAAGCACCTCACTTCTCTCCACAACGATTTCAGGCTCTTCAGACTATATAATATGTCATACTAATAAATCCATCTAGCCATTCCCAGCAGGGATTTCACTTTATTTCGTTGAAGCTTAACTCCGCAAGAGAAGTAGGAATGTGAAATGTACTATAATAGTGTTGTAATTAACTTAATTTTCCTTTTCAATTCCAGTGTCATCCAAGGCGCAGGTCTCAATTTCTAAACATTTGTCGCAGGTGGAGCACAGGTATCGAAATTCTCACTAGTCACCTCATTAAAAATACATATCCTGTATCCTTGATCGATCACAAGATCATCAAAACCATCGGATAAACGAAGCAATTTATTTCGAAAAGCACGCTCTAACTCAGCGTCAATAGCAGAGAGAGAGAGAAAGTGAAAAAGGGCGGGAGGGAGAGACAGACGGCGATAGAGTCATTGTAGGTAGAATAAATATGAAAAAGAAACTAATTACGTCGAAGGCATCTACCACTTTGTATATTCGTCCACTACGCTAACACCATAAAACTTAACACATTGTATGGTAACTTGGTATTAATACAGTATATTTCTACATTATTCTGGAATTAACTTCTTTGATTTTTTTAGTTGACAGTTGCACTTTTACAGTGTTGCACCCTACAGCCCTTTTCCCACCATGTCAATATTAGAAGTATACATAATCGTTCACAAAAATAACGATATTTGAAATTTACCTGTGATGCTTGTGAAGAAAGATTTACAATGCTGCCACCCTTTTTCCTGTCAATCATACCTCTTACCACTACTTGACTCACATTTATGATGGCTTTCACATTAACAGCAAAAGACCTGAAAGAAAATTACGTCTAAATAAATCATATATCTTACATCGAGGACAAAAGTTTATATCTGAATACCATATTGAGAAATGCAGGGATAGCATAATCTTCAAAATTCATACAGAGATTCACAATACATTTCATGTTTATATATTCTCAATTGTATGAATGAGCAAATCAACAGCAAAAATGATGGAAACCGAAAAGGAAAAAGTTTGGAAACTGGTAGACTGAATTTCATCAACATAGTTGACGCACATTGGGATGCCTAAAACCTGGCCAAAATTAGAAAAAAAAGTTTAGAGTTGGAGAATTTTTAACTTAGGTTGGCTACACTATTAAATCTCACGTAAGAACGACCGGAACTTACAAGTGAAAGCAGTATTTCAAGTTGAACATCGGGCTATATTGTGTTTGCGGCATTACCCAATCGCGTGCGGCGGAAATTTTAGTGCGGAGTTGAAGCCAAATATTTATGTTCGATGAAAATAATCATTCAAATTTTAAAATGGAACATGTTACAGAAGGTATGTACTTAATTATAAGCCCTTTTTTAATTTTTTTTCTCCACGTTAAACATGTTTTTTTAATGAATAAGAAAAATAAAATGCCGATAAATAATATTAATTTCAAAAAATTAAAAAGTAGATATAAGTAACAAATCTCACAATATCCCACTTACATTCAAATTTCTTGTTGGTATTTATAGTATTTACATCACAATCATTCTATAAAATCCTGCGAATATGCACAAATCCGATAATGAGTCTTGTTTATAGCGGTAGCTGCAAAAGCGTCCTCCCTAATTTTATTGAACTTCATTTAAAAGTATTAAGTACTGTCTGTCCATAAAAATAATAAATAAATCCATATTAATAGCATATAAAGAACAACATACTAAAAAAATTGGAGAAATAACTTTCTCTTCCAACATGTATCATTTACCTTAGAAAACAATAGACAACACAGCAGCCAGAGTAGTCTATTGTATTCTTATTAAGCAGTAAGTCGAAGGCATTTTGTTTTCTTTGTTGCATTCACAGGTAATTTGAACATTAAAAATAGCGTTTTACTGTCGAGAAAGAACCAGACTTACTAATGACTAAAATATTTATTATACGAGTAGTAAAAATTACATTTCATTTTGCACGAAAGGTGTTGCGGCCCGAGGCCGACAGACTGAGTAGCGCAATTCTACGAGAAAATTAGTCACATTTACCTCGTGTGTTGTACAATATTTTTGGTTAACATTACTGACTTTCATTTTATTTTAATGCAATTATCACTAATTGAGTACCATGTTACATTAACCCTAGATTACAAAGGCGCCTTGTGCCAAGTGTTTTTACAAACGCATAGTCTGGCAGACTACTTTGGGTAAAAATAAAGAGAAACACATTGAAATACTAAATTTAATGGATTGAACATGTTTTATAAATAGTTATAAACAAAATTTAAAGGGTTTTATAAATACACCTAAATGAATTGATCCTGACAGCCAGACACTTGCTTAGTGCAATGCACTCAATGCTTTTGAGAAGCGTCCGCAGAAGCACGCGTCACTCGATCTTTGTTATGATCGCCGATGCATTATGATTGCTAAATATTCAGAACAATACTTAAATGCTACAAGACAAGTTTTTTTATTTTCCTATTATTTATTATCCCTTTTTATTATTCTTTATTTGCTAATGCAAATAAAGCACTTAAAATATTACTGACGCAACTACAAAAGCGAAGTCTATTGGACTATGCTTGATATAATGGTGTATACCGGAAATATGCATGGTACAACGATACGTGTATTTCACTGGTCAGTCACACAACGAAGCTATACAGACGTTGTGAAACGGAAAGTGAGGGGAAGGGGGTGGGTTAAGCTTTCGGATTTAGTTGTGTCGTCTGACAGACAACGCCTTTGTAATCTAGGATTAAGAATATATGTATGCGACTAAAGGAACGTATTTTGTTTCTATCTGAACATTTGAGCATAGACTCGCCTTTAGCATCTGAAAGTAAAAGCTTTTACTAAAGGCTGTCTAAAATATTATTTATTTAAATGTATCAAATTCTTAATGGAAAACTCAAAATAAAGTCATTCTTCGACGTTTTTCCGAATGTCATCCTCCATTTTGAATATTTCATTTTCGATGTATTCGTATATAAACCCTAATAAACATTATTTTGCATTTCCGAAGATATATTAAATTTTTAAGTTCTAGGAATTTCATCCCACTGTGCGGCAGGAAGAATTATAAATGAATTCAAACGAGTAATAATATACACTCATGTGGTTCACAGGTTTCCTTTTCTAGCTCAACTAGCTGTGGCGTAGTTCATTTCAGTATAATAAAATAAAGATTTTATACACAATTTTTCGAACTACAAACTAATAAAAATACCTGTCAAAGTCATCCGGAGACACATTTAGAAAGGAATCCAACAAGGCAACTGCAGCATTATTCACCAAACAATCAATAGGACCAATTGATTCAACTGCTCTTCTGGTTGCCTCCCAATCTCCTACATCCACACATACTGTCTTCACATTTAATTCTTTTGCCAAAGAATCAAGACGAGATTGGGTTTGAGATAGGGCAACAACAGTCGCTCCTGCTGCAACTAATTTTTTCACTAGTTCTCTTCCAATACCTTTACACAAAAAAATGATTAGGCAAAACACTATAAAAAGAGTATATGTGTGTGTGTGTATATATAGTGGGTGGTCAAATTATTATATTGAGGATCAACATTATTTTTGTAATTTTGCTATTTATTTGAATTAATATTTAACTATAGGCTTATTTTGTAAATAAGTATATTTGTTAATAATTTTGACGTTGGTAACACTGATTAATAAGCCATATAACTCTTCCATGACTATTTTTACGTAGTGTGTTCACGTGACGCATTATTGCCGATTGAAGTTTTTTTGAAATTTATGTTCTCTTTAATATTGTTATTCAGGTAAGCATGTGTATTTCATGCAATCATACAACAGAGAATGTAATTTCGACATTTACTGCACGATTTAAAGTATTATTTGATATTTTAATTTCAAGAACATCACCAAAATGAATATAAATCTAATGAAATTATTTCAGTGGTCATGGGAAAATGTTTTGATCTCACTCCACGAAAAACAGGACCAATTGCTATATTTATTCGTCATTGTAAGTACACGCAAATCGAGATGGCTAATTAGAAACGTTTTTCGCAGTCAACTGGTCGAAATATCAAAAGAAAGCTTCAAATGGATGTCCATTTAGGAAGCAAGAGAATAGGAAATTGTGGCAGAAAAAAATCACTTCAACAGTTGAACGGAAAATACGTCGCATTGCATTAGAAAACCAAAAATGTGAAAACATGATTCTGAAAGATGCTGGAATGCATCTTTCAGAGGCAAGTCTCAGAACGTTTGTAGAAACGAATCTCAAGTGTTGACGACCTGTGAGAAAACCAAAACTTGCACTCGAAATGATGAAAAATAGGTTAAAACTTGTTAACAAGAAATGGAATTGGACCGATGAAGATTAGAACAAGGTTTACAATGTGTTTAAGAAATTAAAACAACCAATGAGAACAAAAACTTCTGGCAAGTTGTCAATCAAGATCCAGCAAGACAAGACACAGTTCATTTGACGCAGGCGTAATGAGAAGTACTCTAAGTACTGCATTACGGAACGAGTAAGACATCCTCTTTACCACAAAAACTTTATTGCTTTTTGTATCAGATTTTTCTTACCTTTCCTACTTACTGGCCAATCATAAGCTCCGACTCATGTATTTTAGAAGGCGGTATGTTTAAACCAAAGTGTGCAATAAACTGCATATGTATAATATACCCTCTTAATTATAACATAAAAATCGATCGTTTCTTTTTAAGCCCTAACCCTTCGTACGTGACAACAAAAATCTGGTTAAAAAATATCCCCCCAGCACGCAATGAAGTCGCAATTGAACCATTCTGTACTATATAGTGCGATATCTCGCTTGATTCATGGCGTACAAGAATATGAGTTGAGTCTCTCCATCAATAAAGACATTTATTTATTTATGCTACTACATCATCACTTCCTGCAAATCAATGAGCAACGCCATTCGGCAATCATAAGTAAATTAAGACAGGCACATTCATCATCAAACATATTTCAGCATTAAATAAATTGTAAATGAAAATAATGAAGTTTCTTCAACATTTTAATTTTAAAAATTGCGTGTATTATAAATGTATTTCCAACTGAAAGAATATGTTTGTTCCATCAAAAGTTTGTTACTTTAAAGCAAAATGAACGCACATTTCATGTCATCTGTATATTGGTTTGTTTATGTCTGTAATGTTTATGTGTTATGTCTGTAATGTTGTTCTCGATTTTAATAACCTATCGACCGCACGGTTGAACCTTGCCCATCTGCTACATTAGCATATGGCCGTGGTAGAACTAGCGAAATATGAAAGGTAATTAAATAAAGTACATTCATATAATATTAATATTTGGTATATTTTGGAACTCTGGTGGACGTAATTTCATTCGTGGAATAGTCCTTAATATTAAATACCACTCGTATTTTGGAAAGTATCATATAAATTCCAAAGCACTCGTGGTATTACCAATGATAAACGTTCTCGAGCGTTTTAGAATTACACAGACCGACAAAATATACGAAAGATATACCCTATCAAAAACGGCGCCGCTCTCATTTACTACGCTGCGTGAAGTCACGGAGTTAAAGCGAATTCGAGACTCGCGGGTTCCTGGTTGGGTGACCGTTTGGTAACCCCGGGATCTAGCGACACCGAGTCCCTGGTACTGACTGCGACGTGACGAGACTTGACAATGAAAATAACGGAAGAGTTCTCCAATGCAGGGGTTCAACGCCCAAAAACGGGTTCAGAGACGCGGTGTCAAGAAAAACACAACACATTTTTAAAAAATGCCCCAGAGGAAAATTAACTAATACGTTTTAAACAATGATTTGTAAAAAAAATGATACTGAATTTTAGATCCCAAACACTATTCACTTAAACTACCATTAATTTTCAGATTTTATTGTTTTTATTTTCTCGCCTTACTACGTAGTAAAGAAAAAAGTTGTAATGCTGCGGAAAAAACCGGCGATTTTCGATAGAAAAACGTGCACTGTGGGTCGCTGGTAACGAAAAAGTCAAGTAATATCTTGTTCCTATATGTAGTGAACTGCTTCCTCAAACACATACACCAGACTGGAAAACACGACGTTTCAGAGAGCACGGGGAACTTTCTCTGACTCCGCGCTCATTTGTCTACTAAATCCAGATAAGGTGGTTCATACTCAAGTCTTCTATAGCTAGAAATATCACGCAGAATGGTTTCTTTATATGAAAGTATGTTTGCCAAGTGTTTTCTACAAAACAACCGAAATTTCAATTCTCATACGCTTTTCTACTTCATTTAATGTTTTTCGTTTTAAATTCCGCCTTGTACAGACATTTTTGCCAAGGGACAGAAATATTATTCCAAGGCGTATTTATCGTTTGTTTTCGTTTTGTGTTGTTTTATTAAATCATTCTGTAGTTAGCTGAATATATGAAATTAATCAACACGCCTCTTTCGTCCGGGCAGCTGTTTTAACACACTAGAACCTCCTTACCTTAAGATAGGAACTGAATGCAGTTATTACATATTTAATTCCATGGGATTACGAAATCAAGACTTGCAAATGAAAAACTTTAATTTGTCTCTTTATTAACATTTTGAAATACGACTGATGTCTTTCGTTTTAGGAAATCGTTTCTTTGCTTTTGTCGAGAAAATGAGAATTAATACCGCTTTTAGACTGTCAGCTCACTGCTCCAAAACTGAATAGAGCTAGATTCCCAGTAAGCAATTGGAGCAATTTAAAGTCCCCTTACATCGAATAAAGTGGATTACGCAGCTCAGAGCACAGATGTTACTGCAGTGCCTCTGAAAGGCAGGTCTTGCGGTACGAGTCCCGACGGTGGCATGGTTTTCCACACTAGCTACATAGCTAGATCGACTTCAGTCGTTGTCTGGAGGAGAATTCTAACGGCCGGCTTCTGGACGGTAGTTTTCCGTGATTTATCGGCGGCTGACGGAACAGTATCCTAACAACCGACCACGGACCGCGCGCGATCTTTCCTTCCTCTTCCTTGTTCCACCCCCACATTACATCCCTTTACACACATTTACATGCACTGTACTACCACACATGTCGGGAGACCAGTCGGGACGGTGCCCCAGTGTTGGAAGATTCCTACCCCACAAGCCGACGTAGGTCGGCGCCGGATCTCGGCATCCAGGGGAAGACCGCCGCCACTTTGGGCGATAAAAATGCACTTCACTGAAGGACTAATGTCTTTAACAGCTGACGCATCCGGAATCAGTATAATAAATCAATACAAGCCTTTTAAGTCTCGCGACATTGGACTCACTGACCGCGAACTAGAATGTACTGCCCACGAAGCTATAATGCGATTTTTATAACTCCACCCCTCAAGGTGGCATTATGTCACTGTCTTTCTCGGTCGTGCTGCTACATGTCGCATAATCACGACCGTATCCAGCATTGCTATACAGTCGCCATCATGCGACATCTAGTGGCACGATCGAGAAAGATGCGAAAAACAGTGACAACGCCGCCGTATAGTATATAGGGCCTTCAGGGGTAAAATTATAAAAATCGCACTTTAGTTACCTAGCCCGCGAACTTGACATGCTTGCTTTCTTGTAGTCACTTTTGCAGACCCTTGATGCCGAAAAACTGGTTGACGTCTGCCTGTCCGTCTGTAGTATTCGTAAACGCTAATACCTAAACCATCCAGACGATTTTCTATTATTTGCCATTCCCTGATCTATCTGGACGAACTTAAGAACCTGCGAGTTCGAAACGGATATTATGATTGTGGGGGGTACTTAACATGACTTCAATATTTTCAACATTTTCACAAAAATGAATCCAATTTTGTTATCAAACTTACTTAACAGCGTAAGAGACTCTGAAAAAGGCATAGTCTCATTTTCTTTGAACACTAAGTTTTCGAAATGTGGAAACGTCAGAAATAATGTGAGAAAGTATGAGCTGTTGTAGACCTACTAGTTTACAATTTACTTTCCGAACGCTATTATGCTTGAAAACGTCTTTAATGAACTTTGCCGTTTAAATATTTTTCTTGAGAATAAAAATGTTGGGAAATTTATACCAATTGGGTGAAGACAATTGATGTTCAACCACTGTCTGCACGAACTCTAAGATTCTTATCTGTTAACTAGAGATCACAAAGACGAAGTGCGGGGATCTTATCTATTGCATAATCCAGCAGATTTACGCCTTTGCTCCATAATACGCCGTTCGTCCCATTATCGAAGTCAGCCAACGCTCCTTAAATTTCCAAAAAAGTTATGCGGGCATGGCGAGATCGCCATCAGCCACCGACCAGTGCTACTCCTTAGCAGCTTTTGGTTTCTCGCCTCACTACGTGCTAAAGAGAAAATATTGTAATGCTACGGCAGAAGTCATCGTTTTTTTGGACAAAAAGGCTAGGCCCCCACTAACAATTTCTAGTCGCGGCGACAATAAATCGCTGTAGCAGAAATTCTGGAAGGTCAACCCACTGCGATAAATAAATCGTTAAATTAAAACACTTTCCCAAT